AACGTCGATGAAATTTGCAATAGAGAGTTGGTTTTTATCCGCATCCTCGGCTTCCTCATCAAAGATATCAGCCAAGGCGACCACTTCACCTTTTGGCGCGCCGTCGGGCTCTGTCTCGCCGAGAGTAACTGTAGGCGCAATGGCATCAGCGTCGCTCATCTCGACGTCGTCTCCATCATTACCCTGTGATTTGCTTGAACCTTCGGCAATGTTGACCGCCGAGCTCCCCTCAGACTTGACTACCTCCCCCCCCCCAATCAATGCCTTCCTACCTCCAGCAACGACCATCCCGCCGTATCCATCCTCCATCCAGACCTTTGCACCCATTCCCTTCTCTTCAGCAAATCGCCTACCTAGTACCTCAATTCTCTGTAACATCTCAATTGTAACTTTCATAACACTCTCCCGAAGAACAGGATGATGTCGAATCAGCTCATCAAATTGACTTCCCAGTAAACTGCCAAGTTCATTATCCGTCATATTCTTAACATGTTCCGCGCTCTCAAATACTTCGAAGAAAGTCTCCAAAGCACCTGATGCCTGGAACAGTGCCAAGCCGGAGGAGTTGAGACATATGGCACCGAATGCTGTAGGAATTGATCCAATAGCATCTGGGGAGGTCATGATTCCGGCTGCTGGAGGGTGAATTCTTGGAGGAAGCTCTTTCTTTTTCGTCTCAGTTTTCCCCTCCTCTTTAGACTTTCCTTTAACACTAGATTCTCCTTCGGTCGACTCTTCCTCCATTCTCTCATCTTCCTCGCCCCCAGCGTTCGCACCAGCAGTTGAGCTCTCGGCTGTGGATGCATTGGCTATCCGTTCTTCTTCCTCTTTCTTTAGTCTTGCTTCTTTTTCAGCCAATCCCGATTTGCCGGTTACTGACTCCAGAAGCGCATGACTTAGTCCGGCCTCGTGGATAACCGCATAGCTGGTTGGCTCATTGTGTATAAACGCACTAACCATACCTACCACTGTGCTCCAGACATGACTTCCCCAGATCGCGCCCTTCTCAATGACAATCTTCAGTGCGGTAAGGAGTTTTGGGCTATCAATTAAATTTCTGAGTAATCTATCGGCATTTCCTCCGGATTGAGCCATCATATGTTGCATAAACTTGAATACCATCTTTAATGTCTGTTGACGATAGTATCCGATCTTGAAATCGGTCTGAGTGGTTCTGTATTCTTCCGGGATCCCTTTATTCGCATTGGCTTCTTCAATTCCAGCTTTGACTTCATCAGAAACAAGATCGACAACGACATCCAATCCTCTAGCATTAGCTAAGGTCTGAAATGCGTGCTGAACACTATAGATTAACTGATCCAGAAAACTGATCGCCTTAGGAATGCTCCTGAGAGCTTTCTTAGTTCGAAGTTGGAGAAGCTCTACCAGAATAGGAATGAGCCCAGCTGAGACAAGCAATGAACCTGCATGAGCAGTGGTTGGCAAGTAGCCCACTAATGAAAATAGAGCCTCTCGCCACTCCTCTGCCTCTTTATCATATTCCTCGTCATCTTTTTCGATTGCCAAGTCTGCCACGGCTTTCCTAACGACATACAAGAGGACACCATGATTGACATTGATACTCAAAGCAGCGCAAACATCAGCGGTCTTGCTCTTGTGTCTCGCGAGAGCTTCAAGGCCACCAAGTGCAAGGGTCTGCAGCCACCTGGGAATTTCTTTTCCTTTTCCTGTCCCACTCTTCCCATCCCCGGTGTGTACTAGCTCCGCAAGCTGATATACTAGTTGAAATCTCCGTGGTTCATCCTGGTCAGGTGCCAAAATTTTGGAAGCGAATTGAGTCTCAGAATACACGTAAGCCAAGTTTGTCAATGCAAGAATTCGAATTCCTAGAATCTGTCTTCGAGTTTTTGTCGATCCGGCAAGAGCTGAAGCGACACGAAGCCGGTGGAGAAAATCATAGTGAGTATCGGCGGGCAGTTCAGGGAGTGTTGTTTTGAGTATTTCTTCAAGATTTGGTGCAGCCTGTAATTTACTATAGGGAACTTCAAGGGTCTGCATACCGCCTACAGAAGCTAGATCAGATGGGTCAACCACAGTATCATCGTTTGAGCGTCTCCTAGGGTGAGACGAAGGAGCCTGCTGCTGATGAGGGGTGTGGGAGTGGTGTAACGACGACCGACGGATTGGGGTTGGTGTAACAGGTTCTCTCGGAATAAAAACCCCACCTGCTGCAGGGACTGCTGGAGTCTTTTGTGCAGTGGGGTTGACATAGTAGCTGACCCATGCTCCTCCCCATTCTTCCCAGTTCGCTTCCCGTGTATCGGTAGCTTTCCCTTTCCCTTTCCCACTACTACCAAGCGCCTCCGCACTGTCTAGAGGCTTCTCGTCCCGAGCCAGTCTAGTGAGGTCATTTGCATACACTGGTACCACGGCTTTTGTGGTGACGTTCTTCCCAGACGGGGTGCTGGCAATAGCAACACTTTTCAAGAAAGGCGTTGCCAGTTTTGATACTCTCTCAAGATTAATGTTGTAGTGTGAAGCCAACAAAGCGGCATTCGTTGACTGGCTAGCACCACGAGTTCTTGACGTATGGTACCGTTGCGCAAGACGACACCCAAGCCGCAACGAAGCCTCGACTACATCCAAAGACGTTGTATGCAGTATGTCGTTAATGTGCTATCAAGAGTTACAAGTCAGTGACGAATCAGAAAAGCGTGAAGGAATTGTCTAGAAATCGTACCCCACTACTACCGTATAGACTCCTGTTGCCACAATTTTCTACCAAAATTCTACTAAATGTCAAAACCCCAACTACAAGCTCTTCATCGCTTTTCTCCCATGGTATTGTCTGTGGCCCCTCCTTGAGTTTGTACTTTTGAACTTGCTCTTCAAGAATGGTATCGAAACGATTCAGGAGCGTAATCCAATGGTAAAGGTCACCACGAGGAAATGGCCAATGTATAGGGAATGTTGAGAGATATGGAAGAAGCTCATTCACTGGAATAGAGGTTGCTGTGGCGATAAAGCTTCGCAGGAAGGGGGACTGGAGATATGAGGTCATCGGTGTAAGCAGGTCAAATTCGGGCTTGATAACGACCAGCTCAAGAGCTGAAAGGAATGCTTTCAAGAAAGGGAATACTGGGATAGACTTCATTTCAAAGCTTCAAATTCCATAGATGACTTACGAGAGTTGCCTCATGTTTGGCTGTAGCGGTCTTTTTTATCCGCATAGCGAAGTTTGTGGTAACAAGAACACAAGGGAAAAGCTATTGATTCTTTACAGTATCAAGAGATGAGAGGAAGAGAGAGAAGTAGAACAGTTGATCAAAGGACTGTATACGATGTTGTAGAAAATCTGCGGTGATGGATAACGGACGGTGGTGGGGGGATGAGGATGGTGAGACTTTGGGAGGGAAGTTGTTGCGCTCGCTTGCGTCACGACGTCACGTCGGCCCCGTGCCAGCAACCCAATAAATGTTCCGCGAGCTTCTGTGGGCAACGAAAATTTGGGACAAGTACAACAGAGAATATATAAACCGCTAGTCTAGCTGTAGTAGATTAGTGGTGAGTAGAAATTCGTCACACGATAAGAAAATGGATTTGGAGACAGAGAGATGGCTTTGAGAAAAAAGAGGATGGCTATTCTTTGGTGAGAGAATAGAACAGAGAGAGTGTGCAGTCTCTACGTTGCTGAGCTATTCTTTCAAAACGAAGTCGGATGAGGGCGGGGGTGAGCGGGGGATGTGTTGATTGGAGATAGATGGAGGGGAAACAGCAGTGAGGATTGAGCGTAGTTGCTATGCGTAGGGTAACTAGGATGATTCAGGCAACAGTGAACCCATGGAGTAACTACATGTAGCCTTATGTCAATTGTGAGCCTTCCTGTTGACATCCAACTCACTTTTTGCTGGCCAACAACATCCCCAACCTCTTCAATAATACTAACCTGCAGACGATGTGCTCGAGTACATAAACCGTCTGTGCAGATCTTGTAGAATACGTACCTACGGTGCTGTATGTATAGTCCATACGACTATAGTATGTACTTCCGTCTGCGTCTCAATACGGAAAGTCCCTTGTATCTAGCCGCTTAAGCTTTGATCACCGAACTGTTGAGGTTCTAGAAAGAACCCAAGAAAATGTAGTCTATTTCCTAACCATTCAGTATCGCAGGTACTTGGAAAATCACTTATTTTCAAGTTACTATGTGCTCAATGAATTGTGCTCTTGAATATTAGATTAACCATAAATATATACATGCAGCATACACCACACAGCTACATATTGTAGATTACTCTAGACAATTGAGCAAACTCGATCACGCCAGTTCTTATCGAAGTGCCTTCTTTTCTTACTCCTGTTGACCCTTCTCCTGCAGGAGTTTCATTGGCCAGTACGCTCCGACCATGGCTACGGTAAAGCCGTCAGCGGCATGGTTTTGGCTCGCATCCCTTTCCCGGACCCGACCTGCAGTGGTTATCATGACTAAACCTCATTCTGCCCCTGCTCTACCCCTTCCTGGCCCTTCCACCGCGCGTTTCTTGTCTCACCGATTCCCCAGCCAAATGTAGCCAGAATATATAGCTGAGCATGCCCCGAAATAAATTGACGAGAGTGCTTTACTTTGCTCCACCACCTTTGCTTCACACCCTCGAACAGTTGCCAGCTCAGTGTGACTTAATTTAAATCACTCCTCTACCGGCTGGCCGTCATATATTGTCCTCACATACTCTCTATTCGACCATCTCCGGTCGAAAGTTTTCGAAATCAGCTGTTTGGAGGGGCCTGAGTGGACACCTTTTAAGAAATCAGCACAGCAACGGTTTGAGTAACATCCCAACGATCTTTGTTACTCAACACGAGACGATAGGTACCTAGAGCTTCAAAGCGAGGCTTCCTGGTGTGAAGATACATACTATCAGCCCGCTGTTCTGTTGTTAAACTGGCCTTGTTACCTCCACACCTCCTGCAACTCGCTTGTGATTGCACGGAAAGAAGCAATAACAAACAAACACTGCTAATAACAACGGGTCCTCGAGATGCCCGCCAATGACGACAAACACGCAGAGGAGGAAGCCACTGGCTCTACTAACGCTACCGCGGAAGAACTGAACGATAAGAACCCTAGAGACTCTATCATTTCTACCAAGTCCATGAATTCTGTTGATCCTGGGAATGTAAATAACGAAGCTGTCACCAAAGTGGACAAACCTGATGATGAGGTATGCTATATCCTATTAATTATTTCAAAATCCCCTCCATTCCTCGAGTAGTCTTATTTCTCTTCCGTTCTGTTTAATGAGCTTCCCATTCTACCCTTAGTGTGCCCCTATTCTATACAAAGCACTTGAATTTCTAGACAGATACAGTCTTCGTCTACTTGGTCCTCGGATATCTTTGTCCCTTTCAAAATAATTCTCCTTTCCTTCTTGATTCACATTATCTCCTTAATTATCTCTTCATGTCTCAGACCATCACATCTACTACTGCGAGTACTAACACATTTACTCTCCCACTTCAGGAAACTAGCTCTGAAGATGGATTTGCAGATGCTCCAGAGTCTACAGTACCGGGCCTCTTGACACGCAGACTCACTCAATCTTCCCTCCATTCCACGACCTCCTCTAAGGATGATCCACCAGTATCGCCGACAGTATCAAATCCTCCAACCAACAATCGAAACAGCCAGCAGTCCGTCACCCCTGCCACAACTATCAACGACTCAGTTAATGATGCCGGTATGCCAAAATCACCCACTAGTCAACGGCGTATATCAACTTCCTCTCTCGATGAGGTATCTCTCATTGATGAGCTCCCCCCACCAAAAGAGGCAGTGCCTGCTGTACCCGAACCATCCCCAGTTGCATCTACATCTCCCACATCGATAGTCGAATCAATCGCAGAATCAATCACAAACAGGTTTTCAAGGTCATCAACTGCCAGCTCCCAGAATTCAACTACCACTTCCAAGGCAATTGCCCCAGTACTTCCTCCCAGGAAGCTTTCAGCCCCAACTCAGCCACCGCTTCCTCCCACACCCCCAGCAGCAGCAACCCCACAACCACCGCCTCCTCCGCCTCCTGTCAGGAGGTCTCCATTCAGTTGGCTTCGCTCTAGCCCTAGCACTCCTACTACAGCTACTGCTGTCTCGGGCTCAGCACAATCCAATTCTAGAAGAGCTACTGCTTCATCAATTGCCACTTTGGCTTCTGTTGCCTCTAATGCACCTACAATGCAAGGCAATAATGAGTCATGGCTACATGCCCTGGAATCTGAAAGAGAGGAAAAGGAGAAGGAGGCAGCCAGAGGGACCCAGAACCTAAGAGAAAACTTTAAGAAGATACGAGAAGCTCGTGAGGGCATGCCTGTGCCTGTCGATGAGGATAAAGATACCACGGGCAAAGGTTCGATGTTTTCTGCAATCGGATTTGGTGGTACACCTACAACACCACTTCAAGAAGACACTCCTCCTCCTGGATCAGCCCCTGCCACTGCTTCTTCAATAAAAGAGGACGAGATTGATTGGGATCTCTGGCAAGCTATCGTTGACGATGCCGATAAAGTTGCTTCTGAAAAACCCGCTGAGCTCAGTCAAGCGGTACAAGCTGGAATTCCGCCGACTCTCAGAGGAACAATATGGCAAAGCATGGCTTCCAGCAAATCTCTAGAGCTAGAAGCCATGTATCGTGATGTCGTTGCCCTGCCAGGGACTGCAACATCAGAAGATGCACGACCAATTTTTGGGAGCCATTGGCTTTGGGACCCCTCACCCACATCAAGTCAGTCATCGTCACCAAAGCTGGGCTCTCTTACGAGCCCCAAGCTAGATCCCAGAGTGAAAAGCACATGGGGGAAGACGGTGGCTCAATTGGAGAAGGTTATTAAAAGAGATCTGGGTGAAAGAACGAGCTTCGGAAAGTACAAGGTTGATCAGAAGGCACTTATGGGAGTCTGCAAGGCCTATGCACTTTTCGATCCTGAAGTAGGATATACACAAGGCATGACTTTTATCGCCACTGTTCTTCTGTTGAATGTAAGTTCTCTAACCGTCTCTGAATTTGCGGCTGCTAAAAACATGATTTTAGATGACTGAAGAGGAAGCATTTTGCATTTTTGTCAAGCTTATGAATAAGTACAAACTACGCACGATGTTCCAAGATAAAATGAAGGGCCTTGAACTTCGACTTTTCCAGTATGACAGAATCTTGGAGGATTATGAACCTAAGCTCGCTATCCACCTTAAACGCCAAGGGATTGAATCATCTCTTTATGCTGCACAATGGTTTCTCACACTCTTCACCTACAAATTCCCACTGCAGTTGGTTTTGAGGGTTTTTGATCTCCTTTTCAGCGAAGGGCTAGAGGGACCAATCCTAAAATTTGGGATTGTGATGATGGGAAAGAATGCTAGCACTCTACTTGGTATGGAGTTTGATAATCTGGGACCATTTTTGAAGGAGCGGCTTTTTGATGTTTACTTGGATGTCACACCGAGCGCATCGAGTGTCAAAGAAGCCGGGTTCTTTGGGAATGGTGGCGAAAAGGAGGTATACAGAGCCAACCTTATGGTACAGGACGCATGTGCTATCAAAATATCCCAGGAAACTCTTGATCGTTATGAACGGGAGTGGGAAGAGATAGTTCGAGTGAAGAGAGAGGCCGAGCAAGAACTGGAAACATTAAAACGAGCCAACCTAAACTCCACGCTAAAGGTTAAAAAACTCGAAGAGCAGAATGAAGAGCTCAACCGGGAGTACGTCAGAATAGCCAGCAGTGAGGTAGAACTCAAAGTATTGAATGACCAGCTCGCGGACGAAAACGAAGAACTCAAAGCGAAGGTTGAAATGTTGAAAGAGTCACTTGATAGGCAGCCTCAAGAGATTGAGGATCGATTCCGGGAGGAGATGCGTATTCTCATGGAAAAGAATTTGGCCGTACACACAGAAAACCAAACTCTGGAGGAGAATATGATGGAAATGGAGAAAGAACTGGTCAGCACTAAGATGCAACTGGCGACGGTAACAGTTCCCTAGTCGATATTAAGATAAAACTTTACTAATCAAAATAACGTGTATAGATCAACGAGGATTACGACCTATTGAAGAATAGGTGGAACGATCTTAAGAAGGCTCTTGGAGACTAAACATCTCTCAGTTTCATTGCATTCTCAGCTCCAATATTGTTAACAGGCTCGTGGTTTCTGTAGACTGCTGCCCGGAAGCTGCTGGATCATCTCCTTTGTAGCTCTTTATATTGCCCCGTCGTTCATATGAATCCCTTTACCCTGAGAAAAAGCAAGGTTGGAGCGTCTGTTTTTTTATTCTTTTGTCCTATAGTTTTTATTTCCTCTTACCACTAGTTACTATTCGCATGTTGGCATCGTATTACACTAGCCAACAATGATTATGGCGGCGACGAAGCTCAAGACATTGTTACGCGTTATGTTCAATGATTTGTTATAGAATGATTTTATTTTTGCGCCAAACTAGAACTACTTCTTTACAAGAGGAGTCTACTATGGTGCTTTTTATCTCATACCCGCTGCCCCCAATAAATGATGTGCTTCGCCCTCATGATTTGTGAAGGTTTGATTATGCATGTATCGCTTATATCCTGGGGCGAATTCTCATTATCGATTTCAATTTTGTTTATAATTGTAGAGCGTGTAACTTTTAGATATTTCCTCCTCTGTTATCATGATAGATGTAAATGTGCACATGTCAATACTGACAATTACACATGGTTAAGGATGTGCGCCAAGGCTACATATTCATCCCACCAAACCCTCTGCCACCCATCTTCGGGCACAGGCTACAGCGGCGTCTCTGCAGCATATCTGATACGTCCTATCGATCGCGCAAGCTCCTTCTGGAACCTGCACTTTCCAATCACCCCACCCCACGCCCGCTGGCGTACCTAGCTGTACTAGTATCTTCCTGAAGTTTTTGAACTGGGCCATTATTGCATACACCCAAAATCATGAGCTTGGCGTATTTTTGTATGGCATGCAATATCAGTCGCGTCCACAAACGTCAGTAAAATACGAGTAGTTAGATAGAGTACATACAGGTAGGTACAATATACAATATAGATATGGTTAAGCAAAAAGAATGCCCCCCCCCCCCTCCCCGGGGCATCCCTAGATTGGATTTCAACTTGGATAAATGGGGGTCTCGGGATTACAGCGAGCGACGACGTGCTAGCTGACAGGGTTTGAACGAGTAACTACATGTACATGTACAACAACAGGTCGTGATGATCGATGAAGTTTCAACAGCCGACCCCCTTGCAGGATCATCCTGTACTGTAATCTCGAGCTACTCTAGTAAGCTTCACTCCCCCTCGGAGGTCGTGGTGTGCACGCCCGAGGACCACTAATGTTCTGGTGGAGGAACTTCTTATAATATAGGTGTGTTTCAAGTAACGTGCAGTCAACAGCCTGAATGAAGGCTTTTTTCAGGGAGGAGACACATTGACTTGCAATTGTGATACCGCCGAGCGTTGATCCTGGGAGTCGAGTAAGTTTGTGTATCCTTCTTGAGGCTACTAAATCACCTACTCTCTCTAGCTACCAATTGTCTAAGATGCCCGCCCCGCCCCAGCTGGCAGGCTAACCGATTTTGAAACAACAACAGTTAGATGACTACAAACAATCAAACCACCAAACATCTCAAAGCTCTTGGCAAGTACTCTAAGGAAAAATCTGTTTTGGGCTAAAATAAGGTTTGTTAGAAGATTTGGCCCTTCTAACTTGTAGAATTAAGCTTAACCTAACCGATTACTGATTGAGACCTTGTCGTGTAGTTAGTATCAGTCTCACTCAGTTCGATCCCACTCTATAACAACCACAAACAACAGACATCACAAAACAAAGGTCGTAATTAAGCGCTTCTCCATCATTGCATTGTATCTTGGGTGCATGCATAAATGTCTTAAGCTTGTTTGTGAGAGCCTCCTGCGCCTGGAAGGAGGAGGTTGGAATAAGAGTAGAAGAGTTACTGGCTGGCGGCCGAAGCGCCGTTGCTGTTTCCGCTTGACGCAGTCTGAGAAAACCTTAAATCTTGGCTTCTTCAGCCATCCATTCAGGAGAGGGGGGATTATGGCAAAGAAAGGAGAACGAAGATTTTTTGCTGCCTGGAAAATGTGTATATAACTCTGGTATTCTGGAGATAGTTTGTGAGAAGTTTTTTGGTACTATCACCATCACACTTCTTATTCTTCTCTAGTCTGTCGCCGGCGACTTTTCTTTTTTGGTACAGATTTTGCGATATCTATATTCTTAATATACGAATTCTCCACAAAGAAATAATCATGAAGCCACAGCCAATCCTCCAGAGGCTCCTCTTTGCTATAGCGCTTCTAGCATCGCAAGGGTACTCCCAGCGAGGTGGTGGTGGAAACCGGGGCGGCAACGGAGGCGGAGGTGGAGGTGGAGGTGGAGGTGGAGGTGGAGGTGGAGGTGGAGGTGGAGGTGGAGGCGGGGATGGGGGCCAAAATCAAGGCAACGCAGATGAACTGCTATTACTAGAAGCAAACGTTCAAACAGCTAGTCAGTCCGATGGACTTGACGGTGCCGACGGTGGCGTTACACCATCAGAGACGTAAGTTCTCCTCCACAATTTAAATGAAGTGACTTTTGCTGATAAGTGTTCTGCGGTACAGAGATAATGCGAGTTTCATCAACTTCTGCACGGGAAAGACTATAAGTAATGGTCTTCAGGTCCAGGGTGGAAGCTGTAATCCTATTCCGATGGGGGATATTCCCGCAGCGGATAAGATGGTGAGTGATACAAGTAGCTTTAGGGCTTCGTTTTTTTCGTTGCTTCGTAGCTGATATATTTTGGGTCAAGGTCTCTGTGATAATCCTCAGCCCCGAAGAAGGGTCTTCTATTCCTGCCGGCCAGGAATTCGACATCGTCGTCAAGGTCCAGAACCTCGAAGCCGGCTCTTTCGTCAGTACGTAATTTCCATTGCTCAAACTACAGGCTTCCAAAGGCTAACCCATCAGACCCAACAACAAACTACTATACCTCTCCCCAACAGCTTAATGGAGCAGGCATCACCATTGGTCACACTCACGTAACAATACAATCACTTGGCGACTCATTTACGCCCACAACTCCACCTCCTGCCGATGTCTTTGAGTTCTTCAAGGGCATCAATGACGCCGGTGACGGGAATGGTCTTTTGACGGCCAAGAGCGGTGTTGAAGGGCTGCCCGCAGGGTTTTATAGGCTTTGTACTATCACTTCGTCGAGTAATCATCAGGCAGTTATCAGCCCGGTGTTTGAAAGAGGTGCGCAGGATGATTGTACAAAGGTGGGTTTCTCTTTGTTAAATAACTCTAAAGTCTTTTTACTGCGTTGAGAGCTGTTTCTAATGGGTATATCTATATTTAGTTTCAAGTTGTTGAAGGTGGTCAGGCAGGTGGCGGCGGTGATAATGCTGGTGGTGGTGGTGGTGATGGTGGTAACGGCAATGCTGGCAATGGTGGTGGTAACGGTGGCGGTGGTAACGGTAATGCTGATAACGGTAACGCTGGTAACGGTAATGCTGGTGATGGTAATGCTGGTGGTGATGGAGGTAATAATAATGGGGGTGGTGGCGGTGGTGGGAATGGTGGGAATGGTGGGAATGGTGGAAATAACGGCGGCAATGCAGGAGGCGATGCTGGTGCTGGTGCCGGTGCTGGTGGTGATGCTGGCGCCGGTGCTGGTGGTGATGCAGGTGCCGGTGCTGGAGGTGATGCAGGTTCCGGTGCTGGAGGTGGCGCTGGAGGTGGCGCTGGAGGTGGTGGAGGCAGAGGTCGCCGTAAAAATGGTGATGGTGGCAATGGTGGAGCCGGAGACGGCGGTAACGGCAACGGTGGAGGGGGCGGCAACGGCGGTGGCGGGAATAACAACGGCGGCGCCGGCAATTTTGGAGATGTCCCCTTCTTTGGTGAGAACGCTGCAAGCGATGTATTGGCTGGTGTTCCAGTCAAAAAGGCGAAGCTTAGGTTTGTTCGTGGATAGCTGCAAAGGTTTAGATAGATTGTGTACTACTACTATTGTTAGCAACTGCGTGTATGGAGAATGGAGTTATTTTATTTGTGTGATATTGCTGTGTTTGTGTTGATAGAAGTTACAATTAGGTAGTGCAATTAAATTTTATTACTCTCCCTGAAATCCTTGTTTAGAAACTTGGGTACGAATAACAAAAAGGGTGCATCTGGAAAACTTGTTATTGAAAAAGTAGAACGAGATAGTTAAGTGACTTAGTTCTTATCGAGTCTAACTAGCTATATGGCCACAGATCGGACAAGTGTCGACATGGCAGTGACAGGTGTCGGCATCCTTCGAAAATCCAAATATCTAACGCTGATCCCTCACCCATTCGAGTGATCACGCGTGATTCCACCCATCATATACCGTCACTCGATAACGACAAACCGCCAAGAACATCTGCTTTTCAAAGCACAATCATATTCATGTATTACCCAGATAGATACTGATACGATTTAGGGGGAACCTTACTATGCACAAGTGGCGTTGCTTATAATGTCTTCAAAGGATAAACCGGAATGTAGATAAGACGACTAAACCGACACATCTACTGCGCGAGTTATACTTTTCTCATATTAGGACAGCATCATGATCTGAAGTTTTGGCCTGATACCAGCACAGGGGTATCTTGATATAGAATCCTACAAAGGCTACAGATAGAACGCGGTTGACGTTAGAGCTCCACTTTCTCTCACTTGGTACCACACCTAATGAAGCTTAGTGTGATAAGACTGTCATTTCTAACCTTCATCATATAATATCACTCGTAACTTAACTAGGCGGCTTCGATCCCTGACCTGCGCTCTTGATATACTCATTAAATGTTTGTTTGAAATTTGGGCGAAATGAACTCTTGTCTAACTTGGAAGTTGATTTGTATAAGAAGGTAGGTAGTATTCCGGGTAGCCTCCATTTCGGTGGTACAGGCCCCACGACTGTCTCACAGCTAAGTACTCTCCCAGATTAAAATCACCATGTTTTGTAATAGCATAACAAATGTATTTGCAGTTGTTTGCAGTTTTAGGGGTTTGCTCCTGCAGTATCGCATCTTTCTGAGATGAGCAACAATGTAAGGTGGCCTGAGTAACGGTGTTCACCGTCTAGCCTGACTACATGTAGACGTGTCACCTTTAGGTAGGCTTTCATCCTTCTTCGTAATAGAACCATCCATCCTATTACCTATTGAGTCTGCCTACAGATGAGCAATTGCTTGGCCGAGAAGTTGCACCGTAGCGTTGCGTTGCGCTGTCTACGAGTCCAAGCCGTGCATGGACAGGCACAGCAGGATACCTTCCAGACAGGTACATAACTCTGGCCTTTAGCAAGCCATCACTTCCGTCACCTCCACAATCAACTCGGCAGAACTGGCAAGCTTGATTCGAGAAGCCCTGGAGATCTGTAGAAGATGACAGCAGAGATATACCTGGACTCAAAGACATATTTCTGTTCCCAGAAAAACTCACTACGGGCAAAAGCTTCTAAATAAGAAAAAAAATTAACCATCCCACAAGTATGATACAAAAAGCCAAATTTCCTAGCGCACCTGGTCCAGGAACTCATACCGCAACCAACCTAGCCAAACTTCTTCTATTCTGCAGTCGCCTCAGGCCTCAAAGGCTTCTCGACAATGAAACCCTTTGGTGGCCGTCTCTTCTCATGGATCTCCTTCTGCGTCAATGGCGTGTCGACCTCCGACACAGCGAGCAGTTCCTTGACCTTCATGATCATACCGGCGGTCTGGGGGGTTACTGGGTGGTAAACGGTCTTCATTCTCTTGCGCAGACCGAGAGCTTTGAGGACGCCGTTTTGGCGCTCCGTCATACCGATACCGGAGCGGATGAGGGTGATTTTGAAGAACGACATTCTGCCGAGCGGGTTTCCGTGTAGATGGGTGTCTAGGGAGGCGGGGGGAGCAAGTATTAGCTACATATACAGCTAAAAATAATTAAAGGAACGAATTGTAATATTAAACATTACACCTACCAAGGAGTCAAGCTTTCCAGATTCAATTCCCCCGTACTAGAGGGGGGTCGTTTAATCGCTGTCAAACTTTTGAAAAGAGCCGCCAAATCAGGGTAACCCCAAGCATCCCTGTCCAGGGTGCAACCCTAAATTCATACGACTGCTTTTTACAACCCAGGCCGTTGCTTCACACACAACCCGGACGAACGTAGCTTCAATCATCACGAAAATTACGCCCTACCAAATTTCTACCGACAACGAAAGACGACAAGCCCGCCCCCGCTCTATCGATAACCCACGAAGAAAACCAATAGACGAAAAAAATGGCCTCACCCGTCCCGCAATCCGTTCAATGCTTCGGCAAGAAGAAGACCGGTACGTCGAAATATTGATGGAATTATCCTTGGTGGAGGGGCCTGAAATTATGGTTTGGGTTGTAGATAGAAGTGCTGACCCTTCATTTTTCGATATCGTTAGCTACCGCTGTCGCCCACTGCAAGGTACATATCTGCCCACCGCCAAACAAGAAGAAAAAGAAGCTACAAATCAGCAAAGGCCCCACCCGAACACATAGCTAACTGATTGCTCCCCGAGTACACAGGCTGGTCGCGGACTCGTCAAGGTTAACGGATCCCCCATCAACCTTGTCAAGCCCGAGATCCTCCGCTTCAAGGTCTACGAGCCCCTCCTCATCGTCGGTCTCGAGAAGTTCGCCAACGTCGACATCCGTGTCCGCGTCACCGGAGGAGGTCACACTTCCCAGATCTACGCCATCCGTCAGGCCATCGCCAAGTCCATCGTCGCCTACTACCAGAAGTTCGTCGATGAGCACTCAAAGAACCAGATCAAGCAGCAATTGATTGCCTACGACCGTTCGCTGCTCGTTGCCGATAACAGACGATGCGAGCCTAAGAAGTTCGGAGGTCCAGGTGCCAGAGCAAGATACCAGAGTACGTATCTCCAACAGGAACGGTTGCGTTGTGGCTGTGGGTGGGGAAGTGAGGCTGACGTGAATGTACAGAATCTTACCGTTAAACTCTCTCTATTTCTATTTCTTTCGAGGGTATGGGGGGCCAAAGCTTCTTGGTGCCGGATTTGCGTTACTACTATTGGGACGGGGATTTTTTCAATAAACTATGTAAAAAGTTGCAATAAAATTCGGTGCCAGTGGTTTGGTTTTTTTGTTTGGGGAATCAAGGATAATTGCTTTCCTCGGGTCAGCAGCTGGCGAATGGTTCGAGCGGGTTTCCTCAACTTTTCTCATTAATGCTTATATAGGAACAAAAAGTTTATGGTTTTTTCTTTTGCTTGCTTGCTGGATTGTAGTGAACGGATTCAAAGGAAGTTTGGGTTGGATATGTGGATCAGGGAATTCAGTGGAGGAATCGCTTCACGAAGGAATATCCAGCGTAGCCTGTGATTTATTGCGGATATACCAACAACCTTTTATCGACATATGCTACCCCACCCCTTACTTGCCGGACGTTAAAACTCCATCAAACCAGGCCCCCTTGACCCCATTTTCAGCAACTACTATACAAAACCACCGACAACGACGAGAAGACAATTATGGCCATATTATAGAGCTATTGCTATGAAAGAAGCTGTTCAAATCCATACACGTTACTTATTCTGAATAGCATACACAGGCAACACCCCTCATAAATTATCACTCGCGTGTCGACGCCGAGTATTGATTGGCTGATACCGACATCGAGTAGCTACTAACGCCTGTAATTGGCGAGAAAGCACAAGGACCGTAGTAACACTCTGCACATTAGCCCGACTGCAGTGCTGTGAGACTAATGAGATTATTTTAGGCCCCTCAACACTCTGTCAGTCGAAACGTTTCTCCCGCCTCTGTGACCCTAGCAGTAGAGGCCCTTTTTCAGAGTAGTGTAGTCTATGAGCCAGCTCGAGCTAACTAGTGGTCAATGATCAAACAACGGGATAATCTCCTAGATCTACCCACTCGTGAACAAGGGGGGGGTAAGGAACCGTGCCAGAAAGAGACATGTCTATGGTATAATTCCTGTTTTAGATGAATCGTTTGGGGTACGTTCTTACTCGAATTGGAGTAATGGGCCTACTGCTTTGCTTGTGTCAAGGCCTAAGCTCGAGACCGAACTTTTGGAATATAGAGCTGGCTTGGGCTCGTTAGGCTCGACCGTAGACTACATACACTGAACTTTTGTTTTTCGTTCTTTCAATCTGTTATCATCGTGTAGGTGATATATATAGGCTAGCCCAAGAGTACAGGAGGTATGGTATCCGGGTCTGCACTGCAGCTGTGGCCAAGTATGTCCTAGACCAACCGGTACTCTACCTGCAATATAGATTTAGGCCACCGTTGAGTTACTCTCTGAGAGGCCAGTTTCAGGATCTTCACGCTATGTACATGCATGTATGTATGTACCTGCGTGCGTGAAAGGTTTCACGTGGCAGGCAAGTTCTTTTCGTGGATGCGACTTTAACGTCGCTGATCACACATCCATCAAACTTGCAAAATCCAGGAGACTGGGACTTCGTTTATATGAGTGTGGATGTTTTTTTTTTCTGGTTGTAGGCCATTCATGAAGGTTACGGGGGCTAGGAATTTTGATGTGGGAGTTTTTCTCTGGTTGATTCTCTCTCTACACAGTTCACCACTTATCACTTAAAGCACACGCACACGCACACGCACACGCACAAGCACCAAAATCTTTATAATAATAATAAATGTTTTATTTCTACTAAAGCCCATCCCTCAAGAGAGAAGAAGCCAAAAACCTAAAACACACACCTACAACGCACCACATAAAGCGCACGTTAGCCAACCCACTCTCCAAACATTCCAAAAAAGCGTCATCAAAAGTGTGTAGTAATGTTAAGGATCAGACTTCCAAGAAAGGTCTTGCAGCGGTCACTGGCATACTCAATGGGTTCTAGTGTATGCTACCGAGGAAACTGCGAATGTAGGAAATTTATCATCATCTAGAGGGGTGGGGATTTGTGCTCGTGCTGTGCTTGTGCTGTGGGGGAAAGAAAGAGGAGGGAGGGGGGACAAACCGTTGTTAGTAGTACTGTGGGCGGTGGTGGTTAGTTTGCTGTTTGCTGCTGTGTCAGGCAGGTCCTGTAGAAATCTATCACCACGTTAGCAAAGCCCTCAAAAGATTCTTTCAGAAGAACAGCGAGGTATAAACGGGCAGATGTTTGGCGTCTTGTCAGAGGGTTTACTATCTTTGATTCGTGTTTGTTCATCACCTGCCCCGAAGGGCATAGGATGTCCCTATCATGGATAAAATTCATCACGAAAACGCGGGGCCAGGAAAGCAAGAGGCTGGAAGAAAAAAAAAAAGAAAAAAGAAAAAAAGAAGTAAATTACCTCTCATCACCACCACCACTACCACCCGCAGAAAACCCAAAAACTCCCAGCCTGGAAGACGTAACCACACGTTCCGCGGCCAGGCAGGCAGGCAGGCAGGCAGGCACCAGCGAAACTGGCGCTTACATCTCCCAGGCTCGGCAGGCTGCGGGGGCTCGACCCGTTATCGCATCGCTGGGCGCCCTACATCTATCAAGAAGTTTCTGTTAGCCAGACATTCCTTCTGCCATCTTTTATGGGAAGAAGAGAAAGTGAAAGAGGGTAGGAGGAGGGAGGGTATCTCAGAAGTTAAAAAATCAACAGATACGGCTATAAGTCGCTTTCAGACAGGGATAACTGTAAAATTGAAAATTTGTTTCTCATCATCGTGGGGGGAGGGGTGCGGACTCAGCACCACCACCACCACTACCGCCAGGCAAAGAACTCATTCGGGGAGGAGGGAGAAGAGGGGGAGTTTCTTACCTATGCAATTAGTAGTCGACGAGATGATGATGTATTCGATGTCATTGTTGTTATTGTTGTTGATGTTATGGTGCAGTGCGGTGATGATGGTGGGGGAGGGAAGAAGTGAGGTTGGATGCTGAGCGCGAGAATTTATCGTGCGAGTTGTGCCTGCCAAGGTGCAAGGGTGCTGTCACAAACAACCCTATGCCCTAGGTTTGCGGAGGTGCCAATGATGGGTTCGAGAGGATTCTGGAAAAATGTTCTGGGGACGCGGGACGTGGGGAGTGGTGTTTGTGGTTTGGCAGAAATCATATCCCCGTTCGCTTCACTCACTCACAAGTACTGTTAGTAAGTGACGGTCGCTCGCGCTCCCTCCTATACAGGGGCTCCGCCCCCGTACCCTCACTCCGTTAATATTTAATAGACATTACAAAGGGCTTGTCTCCAGCTCACGAGACTCCCGCCAGGCGACTGAACAGCTCATATTCCATCCTTTCCGCCGCCTTCGGGCCCTCCCTAATCTCCCCCATCATGTCCGAACCCGGCGGGAAATCACACTCGAAAACCGGCTCGCCACCTGCCCTCACGTTAGCCAACACAGCCTGCCTAAAGTGCCACCGTAGAAGCTGATCGACCGGTCGACGCGGGTCCTCAAGAAACGCCCGATCGAGATGCCTGCCGGCGATGCGCTTCCTATCCCGTCTGAAGCAGACGATCTTGTAATCATCATCCGGATTGATCGACACACTGCAGCCCTCAAAAAGCGCATGAATGGTACTGTCAAGCAACAAACCGTTTTGCACAGAGTTGATGGATCCTCCGCTAGGAGTGATCCACCGACCATAGTCATGGTCCCTCCAGTGTCCTTCGTGTGCTAGCGGAAAGATGTGCGCAGCCTCAAAGCCCTCCCAGATGCCATATTCAGCATCAAGCGCCTCTTCTCCAGTGATGACGCATCGCCGGTCCCGCTCACGGACAGCATCACGGAACGCTGCAAGGGTTCCGCTAGCCACCGAAAGCGTACGAGCCAGCCAAGGCTCACTGTTGACCGAGAAGGAACCTGTTGATAGATCAACTGCTTGGCCACGAAAGCGTCGGGGAAAGCTCACCATCGGTGGCAACGTAGTAATTACCGGGCAGCAGTGGATGGTCGTCCCTGTCGACCTGGCTGCCGCCTGCGTTTTGCAGATGGTAGTCACTACCACTGCCGAAGGTGAGGATGATCTCCACCATCGAGTAGAGGTTGGCGTTCGTCACGCCGTTGGTGAGGACGAGACCGCCGAGAACTGGGCCTGTGGGGGTCGTTTGTAGCGTAGATGTGGACGTCGCGGCCCAGTGAGCGGTCGGCGGCGGGCATTGTGGTGTTGACTCTCGTTGGGGTGGGGTTGTATTCTGTAGGAGAATACCCTAGCGGAGTAGGGCCCATATACCAGCCCGTGGGTCGGTAGGGTAAGTGGGGCACTTGCTCCTTCTGGCGAAGGACTGGTGTGTGGCACTCAACGGGTGTGTGGCGTTGGTGTCAATAATGAGAGATCGTGGGGATAATTGTAGCCAGGAACAATGTCCTGACTACCAAATTAGAATAATTATCACGACTGGCGGATATCCCAGTAGTTACAACTAGAGAACATGCCTTTACTGTCAGATAGTAAGAAATATCACCAGCAGAGATGGCTCCCAATCCTATACCTGTACGACTACATTTAAGTACTATCGCCGGCGCAATTGAAGTCAGCAAATATTCCTTACATCGAAGAATTCAAATTCAACAAGATAAGCTGCGGACCAGTACTTGAAGTATATTAGCTCAATGCTACATCACAAAGCTTCAGACCCAAACTACAAAAGAAAAGGATGCCCATCTAAATACTATATTTATCCCTATCTAAAATCTACAACTCTAAGTCTCTAACCACCGCCCACCCCCACCCCCTCCTCCTCAACCCACACCCAACTCGTCGCACACCCCGCCCCCACGCCCAGCACCCTCCCCCGCGCCCCGGGCACCGCCACCCCCCTCACCGCCCCCCCCGCCACATCCCCGCCCCCCCCGCAATTCCCATGCTCGCCCCACCCCCACGCCACAACCTCCCCCGCCACCACCGCAACCCCATGCTCGCTCCCCACCGCCACCGCCTCCACCTCCAACCCCCCCGGCGGCAACTGCCCCCTATCATCCCTCCCCCACCCCCTCACCTTCCCGCCCTCAAACCTCACCACCAAGCCCCCCCACCCCGCCTGCACGCCCACCACGCCCACAAGCTCCTCCTCCCCGAGCCCCTCGCGGAGCCCATATTTATCGCCCCCCAGCACGACCACCCTCCTCACACCGCCCTCATCCGCGCGCGACAGTAAAACACTAAACTCCCTTCCACACGCCGCCATCTCCACCTCCCAGCCCACACCCACCTTCCTTGGCACATCCACCACCGCAACAGCCGGCATCCCCAGCTGCCCCTTCCGCCCCGCGCCCCACCCATACACCTCGCCGCTGTCGAGCACAGCAAGCGTATGCGCCATCCCCGACGCCAGCGCCACCACCCTCGTCCCCGGCGGCGGAAAGTCTGGTAGTCGCTGCAGCGCCGCAGAGGTCACGGGGCCGAGGCCGAGCTCGCCTTTGGGGCCCTGGCCGGAGACGTAGATGTCGCCGGCGGTGGTGGACAGGACGGTGAAGTTCCAGCCGGCGGAGGCGAGTGTGATGTGGGGGAGGGGGACGGGGTGGAAGGATGTGAGCTGTGGGGTGGAGGGCGGGTGGCAGCATTGCGCGTGGGTGTTGTCGCCTGCGGCGAAGACGGCGCCGGTGGGGAAGAGGAGGAGGGTGTGGTTTCCGCCGGAGACGATGGTGGGTGCGGAGCGAGGGAGGGGGGCGGTGGTGGTGCAGGGAGTGGGCGTGGGGGTGTCGGAGAGGTGTGAGAGGGAGAGTTGGCCGGCGCTGTTGGAGCCGAAGGAGTAGAGCATGGTGGGGGGGGGGTTGGATTAAGTCTCTGGGGGTATATATGGAGGTTTGGGGAGTGGGTGTGCTGATTGCTGACCGTTTCTAGCTGTGGGGTTGTAGATTCGAGGTATTTACGGTGGGTGTTAAGGTGAGGATTGGTGGAAAAGCTTAAAGTGACGTTTTTGCCATGTGATCATTGACAGCTGCGGACCCTGGACTGCCAAGCATCTGCTGCAGGCTTCTAGCTCTTAAACAGGCGCCAGTATCATTGACATCCCAATTGTTAAATCATAAAGCCCCCCTGTTGCCTCGTTGCCAGTACTAAAACTAAGGATTGTCCATGGTATAATCTACTACACATATCCTAACCCTTTTCGCACTTTGGAGTGGTCGAGAGCGGAAACGCCGACCCTGCATGGGCCCTGCTGAACTACATGTATTAATAACTCATCAACTCTAGCCCATGATCATAGGGGCAGGACTACACTACGGAAGGTCTCTCCACAAATGGGAGGGGGGCGGAAACCCTCGCCGACCAACTAAATGCGGAGCCAGGCAGGCGGCTGTATATCTTCTACATACTTGGAAGAAGGGTTCGAATCGTCTCTAGCTAGTATGCACCTCAGAGGGATATATAATTCCGCCTTTGCACAAGTAGGCCATGTAACAAACACATCTAACTATTCTCCCCCTAGACTTATATACGCAAGTAGATACTATAGTTGTTAAAAGCCACCATTACTCTCATTCAGCGCCGATAGACCTATCCAGACCGGTCTAATTCTAAATATAACCCGCGAGATTCAAAATCACAAAAAACGATCATTGACCCTCCCTACCCTCTCTTTCTACGAAATACTTAAACACAAGAAACGGCTTTGGTTCACAGAGTATAATATTGATGACTCCTTTTAATTTTTCACAAAGGAAAAGAAGAAAAAAAATAGAAGAGGAATCGGAAATAAAAAGTAAAATAGATACACCAGCACATATAACACAAGAAAAGAATAGAAGAGAGGGAAAAAAAACTTGCAGCCAGCAGCGGGGGAGCAGGCCTACATGTAGTTGGGGGTATAACCGTTGAAACGAAAAAAAAAAAAAGAGAAAAACTAGAAGATATAAAAAAGCCCCCGCCCCCAACCTGAAAAAATAATAATACCCGAACCCCCCAAGATCCCCGCTGAGCATGAGTCAAAGAAGGGAAATGGACAAAGAAGAGATAAGATACATCCGGCCAGCGCAGCACGCGCGTACTGAATAAAGGCCTAGGGCGAAAGCTAGTTATTTTTTTACCCGCGCCCGCCAACAAAAGAGAGAGAGACAAGTGAGATTGAGATCGATAGAGGAGAGTGATCGGGATATAAGAAGAGAAGTGAAACAAGGAAAGAAGGTTCTTGTTGCAGTTAGCCTAGTCAGCATAGTAAGTAGTTGGTCCCATAACATAAAAACAAAAAACAAAAAACAAATCGCAAAGACGCAAAGAAAAACAGCCCCCAAGGTCAACAACGATAATGATATATATATATGTAAAAAAAAAAAAAAAAAAAAAAAACAGACGGAAAACGACAAAAAAAAAAAAAAAAAAGACACCCCAATCAATAAACACCCGTACCAATAAACACAAAATAAAACCCCCCGACCTCCTTTTGATCCTTGCCTATCCTTCCCTTCCTTCTATCCATAAGTCCTGTCTATCAAGAAAAGAGAGAGAGCATGATTTGAACCGAATAAACTAACTACCTAGCCAGGACTACTCTTCCTCAGCCACACTCCCCACTTCACTGACGCTCTCCCCAAACTTTGGATTCCCCTTCACGTCACCCTTACTCCCCTTCCCCCTCAGCTTCAACATACTAAAGCGCTTCTTCACACTCCCCACCCCGCGCTCCATCGAGTTCACCACGCCACTCCCACTACTCCTCGGCGGCCGCGTGCTGCTCGTACTCGGCCTTCCCTTCCCACCCGGGCTCGACTCCACATCATTCAGCTCATCCAGCGAGTCGGCCGTAGGCCTCCGCCTGCGCAGCGACTTACTCCTATCCCTCCCCCTGCTCGTGCTCGTGTTGCGCGTCGACACCGACTCGCTCCGCGTCCTGCTCCGCGGCTCCTCCGGGATCGGCGGTGCCTTGGTGTAGTGGTATGTGCCGTTGCCGTTCATGTTGACGCCGGTTGTGGCGGTTGCGGTGACGCTCGCGACGATGCCGTCGCCCTTGCCGTGGCCGCCGCCGAAGATCATGCTGGCGAGGCGGCCGCGATGGGTGCTGCCGACGACACTGACGGCGTCGACGCTGACCGAGTCGACGCTCATGGTGTCGGCGTCTAGGAGGGATGTTTGCAGCTGCGGGAGGGAGAAGGGGAGTGGCATGCCGTGGGAGGGGTTGGAGAGTGGGGTGGGGCGCTTGTGGTGCTGCTTGAGTGGTATTGGTGTTGGTGTTGAGGGAGAGTGTAGTGGTGCTTTCCATTGGCCGGGGCTGATTGGGGGTTTGATCTGTATCGGGGGTGGTGCGAGGGCTGCGAGTTCACGCTTGTAGTTCTTCTCAAAGACTATAATATCATAATGTTAGTATATGAATCTACGGCTGGCTCCGGAAATGATCAGATCAGCAACTTACATCGCAACAGCCCTTCATGCAAGCCCTTCCCACCGCCCTGTGCCCCTCCTCCAGATGCACCAACTAACCGCCCATGCACGGCCAAACACTTCTTCAGTGTCGCCACATAATCCAGCATCGCCATCCTCAGCGCATTCCTCAGCGCGGGATCCACACTCTCATCACTCAACAGCTCCCTATAAGAGCTCACCCCGCCATCCACCTCGCCCGTCAAGATCATACTGAGCTGCGCCACCCCGCCGGCCCCATCACCCCCCGCACTGCCAGTCCCGCTCTTGATCTCCGCGAAGCGCTTCTCCACCACGCTCAGCTCCTTTGTCTTCATCATCACAGCCTGGATCGCATTCTCGACGGGTCCCACGGTGCACGTGGCCACGCCCACAATCTCGCTGCGCCGCAGTATCGTCGGGAAGCGCTCGGACGTGTTGTAGATTGTCTTCTCCGTCCACATGCCCACGCGACCCGCAGCGCTGCTCGACAGCGGCACCGCAAAGCTAAAGCTCCTCGGCCGCCGCTGCAGCAGGAACTCGCGCGTGTTGGGCGGGACCTTGCAGCGCTGGAACACGGGGTGGCCGATGTCGTGTTCGGGCTCGACGGAGGTGATGTGGATGAACTGGCCTTCGACAGAGTCGATCGCTACGCTGCTTACAATCTTTGCGGCCGGGTGCTGCATCTGTATACGGTCTGTGAACGCATCGAGACCCTCCCAGTGATTGCCTTGCACAATAAACTGCCTATCCCGTAGCCCAAGTGGGAATCCAAGACCCAGGTACGCAACCCTGAAGAACCTCGGATTGTATCCGTCACCAGACCCTTGCAGGATGTCTTCGTGGATCTTTGCCATGGCACGATGGCACTTTCCGAGCTTTGCATAGTCGTAGAGCACATTCTCGTACTGGTCTGCAAGCTCCTTGTAAGTATCCAGCGCATTCTCCCACGAGTACCCGTCCTCGAAATGCTTGATCATCTCCAGGAACAGCGCCTCCCTCCTCTCAAAGGCACTCTGCTCCGGGAAGGGGGGGTCGACAAGCGCAGGGACCTTCTCGTTTGTGTCCCATGCGTACAGGTCAGCGTGTAGCTTTAGTGAGAGCCCGGCCTCTACGTAGTTCTGGGCGTCGAGCTGTATGATGACGAGCTGGTGCACGTAGCGAATGAACATATCCTCCTTCCGCATATCCTTCAGGAACTCCATCAACCGCAGCGTATCCATGATATGGTATGCCTCACCGAGCGGGGTGTTATGCACCGCCACCAGAAGGTCCAGGAACTCATCGATCGTGTGCAGCAGCGAGTGGACCTTGACTGTCAATGGATCATCCGGGATTCGCGATAACGGCTGGAACAGATCAATCAAGTCGGCGATAAAAAGCTTCTGCGTAATACTCTCCGTGAGGCGTTTCGACTTGAACAACCTATCCAGGCTCTGTTTCGCGGGCACGCGCATTAGCTTCTCGCCGCATCACAAACTATCACTCGCGCTACTCACATCAATCATTTCCGCCTGAATCACACTCAAATCCTGGCTCAGCGTCCACTCCGACACCACCATCGTCTGCAACACCTCCACCGCAACGCTCCTCAATCCTTCATGCACGCTCAAGCACAACTCCACGATCGGCGCAACAAGCCCAGGCACATACTGCACCTGGTACCCGCCCATCTTCTCGATGCCGAAGCGCCTGCGATCCTCATCGCTCGTCTCCCACCCAATACTCTCCCACGTCCTCCTTAGTAGATCCGCGCCTTGTTCCCGCACATCGCCAGCAACTTTCCACACCGCGCGCCGCTTCTGCTCCGGGAAGGTCTCGAGCGCCAACGCGTCCGACCCCACGAGCGTCAGCAGCGTGTTAAAGAACCCTTGCCACAGCTCCGTGTTGAACCGCTCCGCATCGTCCGGATCAGGCAAAAACGTATCCACCAGCACCCCCGCCAGTGTCTCGAGGGTCCGCAGCGTGGAGCGGTGCTGGTAGATGTGCACGCTCAGCCAGCTCTCCGGGAACGCCTCGCACGAGAGGATACTCAGATGCACCTGCAGATCGTCCATCAGGAATTTTGCCAGCTCCTCCTCCGAGAGGTCCAGATGCAGGCCCGTGGGGATGCTCGACACGGCCGCCAGTATCGCCGCAAGCTCAATCAGCGCCTCGTCAAATACAGGTCTGTCGGGGATGCTCTTCGTCGGGAATGGATACGTCCTAGGAAACAGCAGCGAGAACGTCTCTCTCTCGTGGCGGCCCGTGGCCTGGATGGCGCAGTAGGAGTCAATGATCTTCGGGATGTACTCCGAGACCTCCTCGCCGAGCTCCTCGACCTGGCATGCAAGCACACTACAACACAGCCGCACCTGGTCCCTCCACTGCCTACTCACGTCGTCCGTCTTCCCCCAGTGCGGGGCAAGCCATCGTACGGTATTCAGCGTCAGTGCCCGTCGGTCCTCTGGCATGGAGAAGAGCTGCGAGCGCGAGTAGTTGATGATCAGCACGAGCTTGAACAGGATCAGCTTCCCCTTGACATCCGCACACGCATCCATAAAGTCGATAGCGAGCAGCAGGATCTCCTCGCGCGTCATCATTGTCGTCGCCAGCTCCGGCAGCCACAGATGAAAGTGCTGCACCGCGAGCGTCTGCGACCCAACAAGCATGGGTGCGTTATTGCGCATGAGGTTTTCCAGGAGCTTGAAGATGCCGTGGAGCTCTTTGATGAAGCCGCTGTTGCCGTTGAGGCCCAGTCCTGCCTCTTTCGCGAGCTGCTTTTCCCGCGCTTTGACGATGAAGCGGAAGACGTGGCGGCCGACCTTGAAGGTACTGCGGAGCCGGCGGGAGATCTCGCTGTTTGTGGGGTCTTGGAGCAGGCGGGCGAAGGAGCGGAGGAGGCAGGGCCCGGAGAGGGGATAGTCGAAGTGCTGCTCGGCGTACTCGTCCACCATGGGCTCGAGGTGGAAACGGCGGTCATAGACAATACCCAGCACTGTGATCAAGGCATTAAACACCAGGTCCTCGACCTCGTTCTCCTTTGCATACTCTACGAGCACGCCAAACAGTGCGTCAAACACTTCCTTTAACAGCTTTACCACTTCCATCTCGGGCACAAAGACCATCTTCTTGAGCACAGCTACAACCTCTTCCTGCTTCATATTCTTCCACTGCAGCAGGCTCAGCACAACATCGTCTTGAGAAAATTTAGTACTACACAGATACGTCTTGACCTTTATTGAGCTCGCTACCCCACCCATACTCAGTGCCGCCGCCCAGCCCTCATCCCCGGGAGTCCATGGCTGCGAAAGATATCCATTGCCGCCGCCCGAGCTGGTGCTAATCGGCGAGCTCGTCCAGTCATCATACTTATGTAGCAGCAGCGAGTAATCTCCATCCCTCAGGAACGCCTCCTGCTCCCACAGCGGCAGCCACGCCAGCGCAGTAGGCGCATTCGGCACCCCGCTGACCGTCATAAATACGTGTGCGTTTGGCACGTCCTCATCATCAAGAACAAGCTTAATTGTCTCGTTCCAACTCTCTTCACGGTTGACAACAACACTCTTCCAGACCGTGAGGGCGGGGGTGTTGCTAGCGGCGAAGATACAGTCTTTGATCTGCTCGCCGTTGGGGCGGCGCACTTCGAGTGATACCTGGAGAGAGTTGAAGTAACTCGCGGGCGGAAGCGCGCAGCTGCCTAATTTCGGGTGAAGGAGCATGCCATGTCGGGGAAGCATTGCGCTGTCTAACGTTACATAGATGTCGCTCCTTGGCCTCGTCGGTGCCCCTGAAAATCCAATTTTTTGCGCGCAGTTGATGTTATGGAGTAGTGTCGGCGTGTTCTTTACTAGCACGTCTGCGTCTGCCGCTGCGAATGGGCGAAGGTATAGATGCAAACGGTCTGCACGGGCAGATTTCTCACTAGAGGTGCGCATGTCAGCTTCTTTTTCTTCATTTCAATCATTGACTCCTGCTGCTACTAACTATTTCCCGGTCTTTGACTCAATTACGTCCTTGATAAGACGGTCCCAGTCCTCATTGTCATGGTTGGAGGAGTTACTGTTATCTCTCTTTCTACCTCCGCTGCCGCTTCGGTCGCTGCTAGCGTCGTTCTTCTCGCCCGTCGGACCGCCGCTGCCTGCTGATGTGGATGTAGGTGTTGATCCGGCGGAGCCAGTGGGGACATATATCCGCATTACCTGCTCTGTGCCCTGATCCTGCTTTACAAACTTGCCTACATCGAGGACACCGACTCCCAAGGCCTTCTTGAACGAGAATCTCCGAGGCAATGCCGGGATCGGGGGTGCATCTGTCATGATCGGAGACGTGATGGGTGACATATTCTCATCATTAGTATGCCTCCTCTGCATCACCGGCGAGGCCTCTGGAACTCCGCCGAGCTCCCTCTGCCCCTTCTCGCCGGTCTTGGGTCGTGGGTTCGGTCGCGGGTTAAATAGCACGCTGACTCGGCCTTTCAGCTTCTTGTCCTCTTTCGACGGAGATACGGTCGACGTGCTGATTGTGTGTGCCGCCTTGATCCCCTGCGTATTCTCAAAGCCATTGCCCTTATTTTGGAGCTGTGGCCCCGGCGGAGAAACCACCGTGACAGTCGTATATATCCTAACCACCAAAAACACATCCTCCGCAGCATCCCTCGAGCTCAAATCGGTAAATAGAGTCTGCATCCTCCCGAGCTGGCCATCTGTCGGGACTCCCCCGGGCCCCAGCTCTATCATGAAGCTCTCCGATACCGGTACATTCGCCTTTGTCGCCAGGTAAAATACCAGCGTGACAGGCTCCGTAGTAATGCCCACAAACGACTTGTGTTCTAATAGTAGATGATGCAGCGCGACTCCGTCGTTCGCGTGGGCCGGCGGCGCATCCAAAAGTGACATCTGCGACTGCAGGCTCGTAATCTCGACGCTGCTGTCATCGCCAGTTAGTATCCTCCCCGACGCCGGATCTCGCACTATGATTTCCCTCGAGAGGATCTTATTCCCCTTTACGAGCGCCCACACAGTGCGCTCCCGCGTTTCCACAAGCTCACTCTTTGTCAGCACGCCATGGAGCAGTTGCCGCCTACTCAGGTCCAGCGTATGGATCAACCCCGAGATCTCGTCAAGCAGCGGGTATTGCCTATTCAGGAGAAGCTCATGCAGGTTCGCCGCATGCCACTCTCTCAGGCAGGACGCAATCTCATCCACCAATGGCTCGCTCTCAAAGCTCGACGTCTCATCGCCAACCTTCAGCATCGGCACCGGAGCCGCAGGGCGTGGTCGATCCCTGTCCCGCCGCGGCGGGAGCGTCATGGCCGACTGCCGATTCGTCGGCGTTGACACGGACTGCTTCCGCCGTCGCGACTTGCCCGACATGGTCCTCGCCACGTTCTTCCCCTCCTCTTTCTGGCGGCGGCCGCCCGGCGGGGCAGGGAGCGAGTGTCCGTTGACCTCCACGCCGTCGCTGTAGTACCTAAACCCCGTGCTCCCGTCCACCGTGCCCTCCTGGTCGTACTCATACTCGTCGTCGTCATCTTCGTTGTCGTCGTCTTCGAGCTCCCGACTCCCCCTCGCACTCTGGTGGTGGTGGTGCTGCTGCTGGTGGTGGTCCTCCCCCATTGCGTCCTCAGGCAGGATGGGCACCTCCGTGGTCAGGTACTCCTTTATGTCGACGCAGGCCGCCGGGAAGATGCCGCTGAAGACGCGGGCCTCGAGCGTCGCACCTTTGCTGCTGGTCAGGCCCGCCAGGAGCGACGGCGGCGCGACGAGGTAGCCCCGGTACCATTGGGAGTTTGAGCACGACTCGATGATGTAGAGCTCGTCGCCGAGCTCGAGGGGGAGGTCGTCGCGTGTGCTGGGGTTGAAGGGGTGTATGGCGATGGCGAAGGCGATGCGTGGGAGGGGGGACCACGGCATTGTGGGCTTTTGGAGGTGGGTTTAGGGGCCCAGTAGTGGTGGTGGTGAGGTGAGGTGAAGTGAGGTTTGTTGATTGGTTCGAGGGGGGGAGATGAGTGACGTCGGTCGAGGTGAGTGGGTTTCCTCTGTCACTTTCTCTCTCTCTCTCTCTTCTTCTCGTGAGATATTTGCTATCGCAGGTAGGCGATGGATTGGAGTGTAGACATGCAGTATTGTGGTAGTATCTCGTAGTAGCACGTAGCAGTAGTAGTAGTGGTGGTGGTGGTATGTAGCAGTTCGTACAGCACCGTACCTTCGGGAATTCCAGAAGAAAGAAAGCAAAAAAAGGGAGAAACGAGAGGGAGAAGGAAAGAAATGAAAATTGTGGGGAAAACGAGAGGCGTCCAGGGGGGAGATGCGGTTTTAGTCTTTTTTAGGAGAGAGAGAAGATGAGAAAGATGAGAAGGTGAGAAGGTCAAGTCGATACGTTGAGATAGTCAGATGTATGTAGTTAGTTCGCAACAGCAGCTCCTGTAATTTACTTTGCAAGGTAAGATTGATCAAGTGCTGCTAGTAGGTATAAGCTACTAGGGGAGAAAAAGACCGAGTGAGTGAGTGACAAGACGAGTGATCGGGGAAGGAAGCTGCTGCTTGCTTGCTTGCTTGCTTGCTTGCTGCTGTCAAGCCGGTAGGAAAGAGGAAAGGAAAAAAAAAAAAAAAAAAAGTTTAGAAAGAGAGAGAAGAAAGAACAAAAATCTCCTAAACCTCCAATGCTAGGTGGGAATAGTGTGAATTGTGAAAGGAGTTGCGAGAGGGATTGAGGGGGCAGAGACACGGACGATCACTACCTGTTCTATCAAACAAATTCCACACCCTCGACTTCTAAGACTTCTGTTGTTCTCTACTATTCGTCCGCCCAGCCCATGCAGTAACATAACTAAACTAAACTACGATCAAAGAACCATCATGAAGATCTCTCTTTCTCTCGTACTCTCTCACACACTACGGTGCTCTACACCCTGATCTCCCGTTCCAATTAATTCTAACCAACCAACCACTACTACTTAATGACTACACCATTTCCTACACTTTTTTTCACTACAATATCTACCACTCACTCCTCTACACAACTCCCCCCCTCGATCCCCACGCTCCCTCCAAAACTCTTCAATCTCGATTGAACGGCTACTCGCTCCCAAGCACAAAGACACCGGCACCTTCTAGTCCAAGGCCCGTGCAAGCAGCAAGAAAGCCATGTATCCACGGGTCGCCGCTGCCTCTAGAGTACTAAATAAAAAGCACGGGGATCTTCAGATACCCCATAGTAACCAAAACCGCCGAGTTGCAGGCTTGCAGAAGTGTAATAAATCAATTGAAAAATTAAAAAGTTAATGATTAATAGCAGCCTCTCCCATATTACTCTATTCTGCACCTCACTCTCCGTAAATAGTTTCAAGTAGGTAGGGCAACCATAACTTCCCCACCGTTATCATGCTGTGCCCACACTTTCTTTTCTCACGTCCCCCCGTACGTTGCCGTCCATGTTCTCTTCGTCCCAGAGGTCAAAGCGTCGGTGTCTGCATCCCTGCAGATGGCAACCGAACCAACCACACACCCATTTATAAGTGCGGACGGGCCACGCCTCTCTCCAACATGAGGAAAAGCATGAGAGCATAAGAAAAAAAAAAATTGCTTGTCAGGGACGATGGCTGAGACACGCGCGGGTGGGAAACGAAACGAAAATTGGAGAAGGACAAGAAACGGGTGGAGAGCTAGGTAGGACGGTGGCTCCTATTTATGCACCTGCACACCTGTGACATTAGCGACGGGAGGGAAGGCGCTGGGAAGAAGGCCCCGTGGAGATTGATGCTTGAGCTCCACATACATATATCAGTACAGACAGCCCAGAGGCAGGCACGGGCAGAGAGGGAGAATGGCAAAGGGTACGGGTATGTACATTCTCACGGTAGATATCGAGAAACATCCACCCGAACACACCTTCCTCTTCCCCGTGCAACCCGAGCCCTAATTCACCAGGTTGTTTCGTTTCCCATTTCCGCCGCAAACAATCCTCGAATGCAATCTCCAGCAAAATCCCGGGTGCTTATCTCTTTTATTTTCTCTGGGGTACATAATTTACTTTAGATAGCCTGCCTCCTCTGCCTCAAGTTGATTGCCAGAATCTCGCCCAGAGCCAGGGGGTGAAGGTAAGGTAGAAAAGAGAAGAGAAGCTAGAGATCTTATCTAATCGATCTAATCACGCTTGACAGGGCAAATTAAGCAATCTTGTTCCTGGAACCGGGAAAATCGGCCCGAGCGTGGAGGGGGAAGGGTTCAGTGAGATGAACAATGGTACCGAGATGAGCGGGAGGGCTTCGAGAAGGTGTGTCTGCATATTGTTCCTGCATCAACTCATCACCAGTTGTCAGGATAGATTCACCTCCCCACTGTTGTAAGGATTGGGGGCGGAGGAGGATACCAATCACGGGATACAGCTGTAGGCTGTAACTGTTATTCCATCATGTCTAATATACTGAGTTCGGGGCGCTTATCTTAGCGGGAATTATATTCGTCGTTGGCATAGTAATCACTCGGATCAAGAGCCGAACTGAGACTGGAATCATGATGCGTCACTCGGTTCTCGAGATTCCGGAAGGTGGTGATGTCGTCCAATCTTAACGCCATCGTTTATAACAGAGGTTGTAGATAGATGTCGTAGTTGACGGTTGTTTTTGGTATCGATATCGATAAGTGAGGAGGGGGAAAGCTATATATAAATTGAAATCCAAATCTCAATATAAAGTTACAAACGGCAGAGAGATTACGCAACACGTCACAACTAGTGCAAGCTGAGCTGAATAGATTGCAGTTGCAATGGAAGCCGTTTCAGATTGGTCAATTGAAGAGGTTCCATTTGATTGAGAAGGCCCGGTAGTCTGGCCAGCAGAGTGCTTCGGGTCGTCGTGGATCGTAGGGCAGACAATCCCTCCAGCTGCTGTCCAAGCACTCCTCGCCTTCTCACCCACCCACTCCCGACACTTCGTCTCTCCGCAACACACCTACAGACATACTGTACAGACATGTCCCAAAATCACGAACCGTCATCGCGGCTCGACATCATCCTTCAATATCTCTCCCAGCCCCCGACTGCCCTACTATGTACTCTACTAACACCCAGTCCAGTTTGAAATCGGCCCGATCAGTTTCAAATCGAAGTAGGCGATATTCTTTTTATTTACTCCCACGACGTCAAACACCACCAAATCTCCGAGGACGTTTTGCCCGTAGAGTAGGTAGAACAACATGCAAAACATTCGTGTCACGTTACTCAGGTTCTTCTGATATGTTCCGCGGTTATGTCCTCATAGATCTCGAGAATGCCTCGCCTGAGTCCCGGTATGAGAACTGATCTACAGACTTTGTTGGATATCTTAATATATCTTGAACTGTTTCCGGAATTCCTCGCCATGTTTGTTAATAGTCCACCAGATAATCGGACCCAGACCGGCCTTCGTGTACACATTCGGACTTTTCTGATGGTTTTTGTAGTCAGTGCAAGCGATTTCTGACCGTTTTAACTTTAGTCAGGCTGCAAGCTAACGGCAGAGTTATCAGAAGAAAAAGTTTGCCTAACAGTTTTCAAGTCTCCGATCTGACAACAAATACCAAAGGATACTATAGAAAGGGTTTCGTTATAAATAGAAAGAACCAGCCGTGGCCTCTACCATTCAATATGCAAGCCTGCATCTAGAACTTGCATCTAGAGCCTGCATCTAGAACCCTTACTCCTGAGAGTTCCTGAGCATATCAAACACCTGCAAACGATCCGATAAGGGCGGGTACTTCCGTATCATATCAGCTAGGTCTCTTCTACTTCTGATAACAACCGTCCTAACGGTAGTAGTAGTGGTCACCGTATCATGGACGAATGCAGCCTATGTAGGAAGGATTTATATCACTTTCCCTGATATTCGTGGTATGTATGATATAGTGGGCGGTTCACGTACGCGTATGCCGGGATGATCACCGGAGCCGTGCTAGAGGATCATGATATATCACTCGGTCACCCACAGTAGAGGAGATGGTGGATGCGGATGGAGTGGGGATGAAGAGCGGTAGATATGGGTTATTGAGTCTTTCAAAAGAAAAAAAGAAAAAAAAGTTCCCAACCCTTATCCCCTGTGGCGGGGTTTCAGGCTGGTAATCTTTGTCCTCGGAATGGGTTGCACGCGCGCACTCAAGAAACAGCGGGTAACGAGACAATGGCTCATATACTGCTGGGATATCCACCCATATGCTTAGAATAGGTTTGTAGTAACTTTAAGGGCATACGTTAGACTGTTAGTGTAAACCTCAAAAACTCGGTCTAGGCCGATGTTGTTACAGAGGAGAATCAAGCTAACCCACCCAGCGGGGTGTCTACCTGCAAAAACTCCAAATAATCCGCCCCATATAGCTAGGAAACTACTATGGCCCCAGTACCGACTCGCTCTGTTGCGTTGGTTGAGGATACTAATCTAGAATCGTTTGATATCTGTTTACTCCCAGATAGGAAAGAACTGACATCTGATCCCAGAATTCTCAAACGGGGGATGTATCGAGCTGCCTCTAGTACCACTCATATGCTGCCTGCCTTGCAATCTCTTAAGTCATGCTCATGCCCGTCTCAAGTCTCTCGGAGGTCTTCGAAGCTTTGACAACCTTTATGGAAATCTAAATTAAGCTTAAGACATGAATCGTACCTTGTACAAGATGATAACCCAAGTAGAGTAAACAAAGAAGGTAAATTCCCATTTTCAATCCGCCCCTCATTTCCTCTATGGCAAAATTCAAGAAGTTCCCTCCTACAGATGTCTGAAAACCTCAGCTTGAATCAGGGTCACAGTATATCGAGTGATAATTCATGAATCATACTGATAAATGCTTAAAGGGTTCTGCAGAATTAATAATTGCGAGCAAAACAAAGTAGGTTATAATATAGTCTATGGAGCTATTATAAAACAGCGTGCTCTCTTACTCGTGCCTTTCAAGTAGGACACATGAGCGACACCAACTTGCAAGTACACTGGCTAGGAAGTTTTACTACGACCTGGCTAAATATATGGAATCTAAGCTTAGAGGCTCTCAAGTTTAGGGAGAGCCCTGAGTGCTACCTCCCAACTATGTCACCGCAATTGGTCTTGAATTTCCACAGTTTTTGGGTGAGCCAATATTCTGGCCAAGGAGAAAAAGAGGCATAATATAGATGAGAACGCTTCATGGCGGGGCCAAAGCGGCGATAGTAACGCCTGGTATTCTGATTTAGCAGGTCATTGGCTACCTAGTGGGGTAACGGCAGTCGTGGCTGAGAGAAAGATATTTCTTCACAGGATATCACTCGTGACGTCATTCGACTAACAGGGTTTTTTTTTTGTTTAATTCATTAATTGTTCGACTAGCGGGGTAATTTTCATCTTTCCAATTGATTCAAATCCCTCTCGATCTCAATTGTAGAGTAGATAATACATATATGTAGCTAGAAACGCACAAGAAAATCATATTACTAGCAAGAATGTAACTTTTGATTTGGATATATTACACAAGAACAAGAAGCATAAAAAAATGACCCCCACCCCCACCACCGCCACAAGACACCCCACCAATCTCATAAAACATATCAACAGTTGGTACAGATGCATTACTATATACGGTCATCCACAGCGGCAGTCCACAAGCCCCTTCACGGGCTCCACCGATATCCTACACTCCCTGCCGCTTCTACTCATCATCATCGTCCTTCGCAGCCTTGGCGGCCTTCCTCGCCGCTTTTTCCTCCTTCCGTTTCCTCTTCTCCTCCTTCCTCGCCTTCCTCTCCTCCTTCGTCTCGCCCTCATGCTTCTTACTCTTCTTCTTCGCCTTCTCAGCGTCATCGCCCGCCTCCACGGGCGGCACAAAGTCCTTTTCCCGCTCCTTCTGCTTCTCCTCCTTCTTTTCGCGGCGCTTTGCCTCGCGCTCCTCCCGCGCGGCGCGCTCCTTGCTCTGCTTGCTGAGGAAGTACTCGCCGGACTCGATCTGCAGGTCGATCTTGGACTTCTCGGGTGCGGGGGGGAAGGCCTGTTTGCATCACGTGGTGTTAGTGGGGGGAGAGAGGTCAGTGTGTGGGGAGGAGGGGGTGGTGGGCTTACGGTGTAGACTTTCTTGGTCTTGTCGGTGATCTTGTGGGGCTTGCGGCGCTTGCTGAGGTTGCGCTTCTTGAAGTGCGGGAGGAAGCGGTCCCAGGATTCGTTGACGAGCTCTGGATCCTTCTGTAGTTCCCGCTTGATCATGAGTTCCTAGCAGCACACCTTCGTTAGTCCGGCGCACTCCCAAAGAGCCGGGAGCCCAATTACGCCCAGAAACAAACCTTGATGTGGTATATCGGGTGTATATTCTTCATACAATCCTCCACCACCCTTCGCACCTCCTTCAAACCCTTATACCCCCCCATCGCCGCCACCGTATTCCCCTGCACCAGGATATAGCACCCCGTCAGCAGCTCCAGCGCCTTCAACGTGCTCCCATTCGGCCCCAATATCCTCTGCCTGCGCTTCACAAAGCGCTGCTTGTTCCCCACCAGGTTGCCGACCTTGATGATGTCCGCCGCCACGCCGTCCTCCAGGATCTTGACCGCCTGCGGGAACGGCACGGACCGCGCAAGCAGCTTGATCAGGTCCCGCGCCTTGAGGATCGCCGCGGGATCGTACGTCTTGCGCGTCGTGCGCACGGTCATGGACCCCTCAACGAGATCGAGCGTGCAGGCGATCTGGTGCTTCTCGAGCACCCGGGTCACGAGCGGCCAGGCTTCGCGTAGGTAGACTTCGCGGTACTTGGGGAAGAGGGTGGCGAAGGAGGATTCTTCGGCGAAGGAGCCGGCTTTGTTGTCGTCGGGTTTGAATTCATCGATCTGTAGTGGTAGGCCGGTGAGAGGTTATTTCTCAGCTTGGGCATTGGGATGGGATTGGAGGGGGAGGGGGGCAATTGACGAACCTTCCACTTGTCGATGTCGTCGGTGTCCCATGGCTTTTCCTTGTCGTGTGTGGAGGGCATGTTTGGTTCTTCTGGAGGGGGTTGGTGTTCTCGTGAGGTTTGTGAACGAGGTTTTTAATTTTTGAGATTTTGGAATTGGTGGAGGAGGCTCTGCTCTGCGGATTGGAGAAAATTGTTTTGTTGGGCAGGGTAACTGGCCAGCTGCTTGTTGACCTGTCCGTGTAACTCACCTAGCTTGATATCTCCAGGAATTAAGGCTCGGTACCGGTATTAATTGTAACGTATTAACGGGAGCGATAATATTCTCGTCATAGTTGATATTTCCGAACTGGTGAGAAGAAGAAGAAGAAGAAGAAGCGTCGGTATTAACGGGCCCGACGCGACAGAGACCATAAAATACCCTTTTCGAAGGTAGCCTTAATCAATTGCAAGAGCTAGGGTAAAAACGGTACAGAGTAGAAATGATACTGGTCCGAGAGAAGTTTAAAACGAGGTTCAATTGAGAGTACGGGTGGGGGGTCGCACGTATTTATACTCGTATAGAAAATACCACCGAACGAGCAAAGACGTAATATCCAATTTCGTAGTGCCTAGCGAAATATTTGAGCGCATCGTGTAATCACTACGACATAGATGTGAGGTTATGCGGTCCAAATTAAATGGTTTATGTATAGCACGATGACTTGATCAAACTCTCTACCACGCGCATATGAGCCAATTGCAATGAGGGTTATCGTTTCGTGTCATCACTTCCGTGCTAGACATTTTGCATCGTTATTTACACCGCGTGGAAAGCATAGGTTGGGACATGTATTCCCATGGTAGAGTAAAGAGACAATACAGTGTTCAAACATAGAGAAATACGTAAAGCTTTATCCACGCCTCCTCGAGCCAAGATGAATGCCGTTAGCATGCCGTCATAGAAAACGAGTGATATCATATGATCTCACTCGGACACACTAACTCGACAACTCATGAGCTAAGCTAAAATAGGCCATCGCATCTACAAATGAAGTTAGGGCACTCAATCTTATTCCCTCAAGCCTACTTGCGGTCACCAGTTTAAATTTGTGGATAGGAAAAGTACTGCTCAACAGAGAAGAAATGACCGCCCAAGAGGTTTTTTTTTAGGAGGGGACTCTTTCGTAGGAGATCTAGCTAGAACGAAGGCAACTTCAACTGGAAAAACATCGTCTCACCCAGCCTTATCGATAATCAAAGCAGTTCAAGGGCTTATGAAAAACATCGTGTGGGCTATCGAAAACGAAGAGTCCCGATCTTAGAATTCCTATGTTATGATATTCTTCTATACTTTGAACAAATCTTCAAGAAGGTCCATCGTCTTGCATCACTCTCCCGCCCTCCAACATCTTTTTGAGAAACTTCTTTGTTGATTTAAAAATAATGACAAAGTCATCTGACGCTCCTCCGGTTTAGAAATTAAACTTAAACTTGTGGTTGACATAAGAGTAGAGTATTGTTTTTTTTAAACAAGGTACATATAAAACGTCCAGTAAGCGATAAATTAGCACACATATACCAGAAAGAAATCGATCTGTGTGAATATGTTAGTCATTGAGGAATGGATAATTTTATCAAAAGAGTGCAAATGTTTTGTCTTACCTATATTCTATTCAACGTTTGTCGGCGCGGAAATATCGTTGAGGCAGTACCGGTCTTAAAAGCCAGGATAGAAAAATCATACAATTGGGGGGGTCTGAGATGAAACATTGACTAGGGCTGTATCTGAGGAATTTGAAGGAGGAGCGCTTGGCCGGTTCACGGGCACATCGGTCTAAACATTTATCTATTAGCGCCATGCAGAGCTGGAATCAGGATAGGGAAAACGTACAAGTTCAATGGGCCGGGGAGAATGAATCAATTGATTAGAAGGGTTCTTGGCTTCATCAATAAGTGGTAACTCAAATGTTTGCGTTGGATATGCATCCACAGCGCCAGACAGTTGGAAGGATAGTTTTGCCTGTTGATCGTTTACTAAGTATGGCCCGGTATCCAACTCAAAAATGTTGTTCCATGGGTCATCGGGATCATATTCCTCTTCAGCTCCAGGACTTCTAGGACTCTCGTCACTATTGCCCCAGTTGAGGTTTGGGTCTGTGCGGTCTAAAGAGTTAAGATATGCTTCGATTTCGCCGAACCCTCGAGCCCGTGCTAAGGAGAGAGCAGTCCATTGGTATCGGTTCTTGAAGTTTATCCACGCTCCAGACTGGATTAGCAATTTGACGGTACTAAGATTACCGGCTTTAGCGGCAACTTGAAGGGCGGTCCATTCATGGGATCGTGAATTGACGTCCACTCCAATCGATAGCAGAGCGGAAACAATATTGTCTTTTCCCATCTCAGCTGCTAGATGTAACGTAGATTCCTGTTTTGCTATTTCCAGTAGCTCAGGAATCATACGTCTCAATATCCAGAACGTTTCAGCAGATCCTTCAACTGCAGAAAAATGCAACAACTCCCGGACCTTTTGGCTTTCAAGACGTAGTCCGAGGTAAAAAAGCTTGTCGGTGATGGAGAAATTTCCTAGTCGTGTGCTGAGAGCAATAAGATCGTTATCCTCTACTGGCCCGACTTGAAGCAATATATCCAGTGTTTTTTCATCTCCTTGCTCGACCGCAATACGTACGGGTACTCTAATATCTTGGGAAATAATGATAGGTGATGAGTTGGCAAGTAAAAGAAATATCAGATCTCGATTCCCTTGTTCAACTGCCAAGCTAAGTGCTGAATTGTTTTCTCTGTCTCGGTGGCATGGGTCCGCATCCAAGTCGAGGAAAAACTTGATCTGATCCATAGTCAATCCTCTTCTAATAGCAGTACGGAGAAGCGAGCTCCGTGTTGGTTGCTGGAGGAATTCTGCGTGTTCCTTGGTCTTGAATAACTTGGAAAACTTCTGCTTGGGAAGCTCCATTATCAGAAGAGGCTCCGGTAAAAGTAGGTAGCTTAACACAAGTTCGACGATTCCATCATTCCCTAAGTTGGCTGCTATTTGGACACATCTCCATTGAGGTGGTGCCCCTTGATCGAGTAGCACTGCTACAGTGTACGTATGTCCGTAAAGTGTTGCGGCCTGGATTATGCTTGAACCCTGCTCGTCGATAGTATTGAGACTTGCTCCTCGTGCTTTTAGAGCATGTATCACATTTACATGCCCAGAAGCAGCGGCATATGTTAGCGGTGTCTGGCCGATATTATTTGCTTTATCTGCAGACGCCCCCATATCGAGAAGAGAATCGACCATCGTCAAGTAACCTTCCCTTGCTGCAAAATGGAGAGGTGTTTCGTCAAAATCATTGGTAGAATCAATTTCGATTCTTCGCACATCTTGCCCTGGATAGAGAACGATATCGAGAAGATCTAAGTAATCTTTGCTGGCGATGGCGTGTAGGCAAGTATTTCCATCCTCATAATGGGCGTTTATATCGGCCCCTCGTTCATAGAGAAGCCGAAATATATTATGATGGCCTAAAACTGCTGCTACAAATATTGGTGATCTTCCGCTCTCATCTTTCTTGTTGATATCTGCGCCGTGGGTTTCCAAAAGGGCCTCGGCAGTGTGATAATGATTGGAATATGCGGCACGGCATAATGCTGTTTGTCCTTTTTCATCTATAGAATCGACATCAAATGTATATGAGGCAGAACGCATCGCGAACTCGCCCAGAAGGCATTTATCCCCGTCTAACGTGGTGCTTGGGCCCGAATAAGAGAGCAACTCCGTGCTGTTGTAATCCATTGAAACGTCCAAAGTTATTGCATCAGGTATACTCTCCAATAAAAGTTCCGTAACAGCATCTAAACCTTTGTTTAACGCAATTGATAATGCCTCAGACCATTGCTTACGATCATAATTTGCCATGGCATTTGCTTCCAAATGTTCCCAAGTCTGCTTGAGATGTTTCTGCTCCATGTGCCAGTCCTGCAGTGTTGGGGCGGCTACGAAGTATTGTCCACCAAGATTACTGTCGCTACTTATAGCCCAGCATCCGAGTACATCTCGGTGTAATTCCACAATCTTTAAAAGTGCGATATTGAATGGGTCTGTGACTTGCGGCATACGGGAGAGCGACTTCTGCAGCCATTGGTGGATATTAAGGTACCATGCCCTGAGTTCTGGAAGATCATTCTCCGGAATGGAGAATTGAAGGGCTTCTGCTTTGAAAACCACAATCTTGATTGCTCGTAACAATTCCCTGACAGCAATTCGAGCCTGAGGGTCATGTTTGCCAAGAATATCGACGCAGGCTTCAGCAGCTTTAAAGTAGGCATTGGCAGCTTGCATGTAACTGGTAAGATCTTTTCGAGTTCTGGTATGGGACCTTGCGGTGATGTGGCATGTATAAGAAAGCCAGAAAAACATGTCGCTTTTTAATTCTTCTTGTGTCGCCGGGTTTCCGTCACGCCGTGCAATACTTAAGATATCGCGTTGAGCTTCGATGATGGATGGGAGCTTTCCAGTAAGAGGTGGGATAATGGTCATGTAAGCTTCCTCTAGGTTTGCTAAGCCGACTTCCTGGACAATTTGGGCAATCTTATCTACCGAGCTATGCGTAATCCCAAAAGTTCCGATGGTTCGTTTGTTGTATCTCCTGACCGCCATCTTTCCTGGCATCGACGAAATAAGCTCCGAAGCCGACGAAAGGAAGACCGAAAATATATGCTGAGCACATAGTTTTTCGAGAGGGGTATTTGAAACGACAGCGAGCATGCCGTCACTGCTATCAAGAGGGGTCGAAAGGCTTCCTATAACTCGAAAATGAGGAATATCGTTCTCCTTGGCTCCGTCGGTAGTATTTTTAACCTCGATACATTTTGTTTCCCTTGCTATCCACCAGTCGTATAAACATCGGGCATAAGGAAGACTTATATCGGTACCACCAAATCCTAATATGCGCAGTGTGCTATCTTGCGACTCGAAATCTTCACGCGGTCCGAGACTACGGCCTCTTCTATCTTTACTTTGATAAAGTGACCGCATCTCTAGTTCATGAAAATCAAGCATGCATAAAGAGTATGCGGCTTCTATCTTAGAGCGATCAACTTTCCACTTTCCCCATAACTCCCCTGCTTCTCTGGGTTTCCGCCGTTTCAAATGAAACTCGATTTTTTCAAAGGTTTCTGAATCTTGCCCAACTCTTTTTACACCCACTACTAAGGGCCATTTGAATTCTGCCAAATCTAGTTCGCGTTGAATTAACGAGGGAGTTCCATTTGAAAGTTCTGGAACAGATTGAAATTTCTCGACCTGTGTCATCTGGTTGCTAGGATCCGATATGTATTCCATACTTCGTTCGATGGCGTCGCAAAGGGCCGACATTTCCTTGTGAAAGTTTGAAGTCCAGCCAGATATAGCCCTCAGTCTTTCACGTGTCTCAATTAACTTCTTTCCAGGACCATCTGGTATTGGAAGTAGAGGGTCGAATGGGGCGAATTTCAGGCCCTCAAGCAGTCCGGTTGGAATTGAGAATCGTTCACATTTAGTAATCTCCCGTGCCATACAGTCAAGCTCGAAACTAAAACATGTAAGTAAATGTATGTATGTCGAAATAACGATTTATCGACAGAGTTTACTTTTTGGTGATTTTCTTGGCGGCTGGATTTCGAGTAAGATGTCGACGGATGATTGCTCTTAGAGTAGACATCACTGCAGTTGCAACCAACTGTGCAATTGTGGCCGACCAATGCATCCCTAAATCCACCCTTTATCAGATACATGTAGTTAACATAAAAGGCAAGCTGTTATTTCAAAATTACCTCTAAGACCCATAAACTGAGCAACAAAACCCGAGATGCTAACAATGGTACCAAGCAAAACTAACGACTGAAACCCCTTCAGATCCCTCTTTACCCGTGATGTCATAATAGTTTGCTTGTCGTTCAAACAAAATATTGCATATGAGTCAAAATGCTCATCATTCACTATCTGTCCCTTCTGCAGCCACGCGAACCTCACCTTCCCTTCTTCGTCCTCCTTCGCCTTCCATTTCTCCTCCACCGTAGCAGCGTCAACGACATGGGAGCATATTAACATCCCCACAACAACCGCAACTGTACCGACGGTAGTCATCGGAAACGCATACTCTGGGGTTGGTCTCCCTCCTTTTCGAAATTTGCCCGTGGCAAGCCATGGTTCATATTTTGTGATTAAACCCCAATATACGATGACAACAGATTGAATAATAGTTCCCAATATTGCTACTGACCATAATTCACTCTGGCTAGCAGTCTCGCCCCGGGCATTAAGAGAAATATTTGGAGCGCATGGATTCGGAATTCGGTCCTCAACATCTGCAGACCCATCCATACCTGGCGATGACATGCCAAGAAGTTCGTATTCATTACTGTATCCACGATCACTACTAATGTGACGACGCTTCCGCTTTTGACGATATAAAGGACTGGATTCCGACGGGCATGATTTGCTCTCTTCGAAGGAATAGACGTCTACTGAGGGGGTATCAGTCAATGTGTTTTGATCCTGGACTCTAGGATCCTTCTCAAGGAACACTAGCTCGATTATCTCTGGAGATCCAAGAACTCGCACAACAGTTTGACCATTCCATAGTTCACAGACACTCGCGGAGGTTGAGGACATAAGTTCTAGCTCGGCCACTCCCTGACTTTCCTTGGCTCGACCAATAATCGCCCGTAGCCAAGCTGGGAAATTTTAGTATCCATTTGTGGAAATATTGGGAAAATAGTGTTTGTGTTACGAACTCGGTCCACCGACTCGGATAGCTGCTACAACTGCTGTGATGATTCCTAGATCGATATAAGCGTCTAGCTACGTACAGGATTCGGAGCGCCAAATGAATATATACCTAATGGCGCCATAGAAAATATCAGGTTATCCGCCCATCCCATCGACTGCCCAAGAAACTGCTTCGCAACTTGCTCTCCAAAGAGCGTGAGCAGTGGCGCCAAGTCACTAAAAAGGTTGTTCGAGAATTCATCCCCAGAATCATCAGCTGCGACCGAAGAAACACAGATAAGGATAAGAAAAAGTGTAGAACCAGTATGTGAAGGATAAAAAAAAGTCATTTTTCCATATTCGAACTAGAATTCACATGGGGTATCGAAGTCCTGAAGTATCACATAGCCACCCCACCTACAGCTAGGTCTACCTCCTTACCTTCCTATATGTAACTGAAGGCCAGAGGGCTTTGTGTAACGAATACTGAAAATTGGGGTATGTACCATATATATCCACACCTTTAAGTTCAAGGATACAGCTACGGGCTAGGAGGCGCACATATCCCTGTGGGGTTTCGAGGCTGAGTCTCCGATCTCGGAGTTGTCACCGCCTAGCTACCGGGTTATAATCGATATTACCCACCGCGCGGTCAGCCTTGCCTATCCCTTAAGCCGTCAGGCCGAATTGAAAAGACAGCTGATAACCACATTCAGTAAAGATGATGGATTGAACGCTGGTCTCAGTCATACCGTCACGTCAGCTGCCATTTCAATTCAGCCTGACGGCTTAAGGGGTGCCTCTACGTAGTGTAGGTACTTACATAGGTTCATGCTTAATTTACTAGACAGTAGAGTATATAAAGTTAGATTGTCTATCCAGCGAAATGATTAGAGAAGTTATCAATCGGGTGAACTGGGAATGTTGTTTAGACTTCTCTAAACCAGGGGATTAAACTCTGATAATATAGCCAGGTCTTGTTTCCCAGGACTCCTTTTAAATAGAATTTATATATAGATAGATCTCTGGTTGTGAAAATTAACCTCAATTGCTACCTAGAAATGTATATTCTCCGTAACTTCAATACTCGTGATTCGTGAGGTGGATATTGACGTACAATTGCAGGCCATATCTGCAGAACTTAACCATGGGCACTTAGCTGTAGAAGCGGTCAATTATGGAACCTCCGACGTACCCAAGTATGTTGAACTTGAAAGGGATGGGGCGCGCACGCAGCGGAGTCCAATGAGCATGAGGCGAAAAAGCAATTTAGACCATTCACTTTAATTTCCTTGCCTGTCAATGACTGGCAGGTCGTAGAGCCACAGCGAATCCGAGAGATGAATTATAATTTCGATCAAAAGTTGTTAGCATTAGCCACCATCTAGCTTGGTGGGCATGAAGGAGATGAAAGGAGAATCATTTTTGTACCTACATGAGTATCGAATCGAATACCCAGTACTCGTAATAACGTTGCATCTAGAGATACGTTTGCCGAATGGACTAGCTAGCAAACCGGGGATTCGGGAACAAATAGTATTCTCAGGTTCATCGGTAGAGCTAGATGTAGATACCATGCTAGATATGCTGCAGTTCGACGAGAGTAATATTGGTAGCGGCCTCAGACTGGTCAGTATCTACATATTCGACGGGGAGTATTTGGGGTATGGACTTCCACGATGTAGAGGGTCCCCCCACCCCCTACGAGAAACACTTACGACGCTTAGCCACTCACGCAAAAGTATCTATTGTCCATGTCAAAAAACTTATGTTGTTCCCCCAGATCCACATATCCCATGCATGTCCTCGATCCAGCCTTGGCTATTGTAACGCGTCACCGAAGTCGTACGATAAGAGTTACATTTTGAAGTCTCTAGCATTACCATGTACTGGTTATCTCCGGCCAGGGATTATTGCTCGAGTGATTGGTTGAATGGCATCGATCTAGTACATCAGAAGTTTCCCGTACAAGTAATTTTGATCTCTGGAAGCTAGCCAATTTTTCGAGTTATGGCGGGATCTAGAGTTCCTCAACTCGAAAACATGTCAGCTATGCAGGTAGATGGCACTCTAGAGTTTCCTAGATACAATTTGAAATCATCGTTGGTGATACAAGCGTAAAGTAACACCAGTAGGGCTTGGGTCAATAGGTTGACTTTAAGGCGCTTACCTCACAGACGACGCAATGAAAGTCTCGCCTCCAAGCGAAGAGGTTGCCCACAATAGCGCCGCAGTAGCATTCAGAAGAGTAAACATCTGAAGATACATGTACAAACGCGCTTACCCTCTTGATGGTGGACGTCCGGGGAGGATCGTATCCCACACTGCATGATGATACAGATTCGAAGACCATTTGCACCCAGCACCTGCCTGTGCCAACTACATGATATGTTATCTCATCTGTATACAGCGAAAGCTTGCTATAACGGTACCTTCTATAAGGGTAATCTCTCTATAACGGTAGCACTTCTCGGTCCTTTTTGCCCGGATTTCAGCACAATCACCTCTTATATAAGGGTAATCTCTCTATAACGGTACCAAATTCCGGTCCCGAGCGTACCGTTATAGCAAGCTTTCGCTGTATGCATAGGACCAGAAATGAGGGCAAAAGTAATACTGCAAATATCAGTATGGAACTGTGAGAATAGTATTTTAACGAGGTATTGTATGTGGCAGTGTTGTGGTATTGAGTACTGCAGTAGTAATTTTGCCCACACTTCTGTCACTATAATCAGGGTTAATGCTATATAGATATAGTTCGACGATCAATAATTTCCCGCCCGGCCCGACCCGTAAGCGTTGCGGCAAGCATTTCTCTGCACCCATATTTAGATTGACATAGTTGAGCAGCTAATTTGAATGTTCTTGATGGCTTTGAATTCCAGTTACCCTTAATCCAGTTTGGCCCTTTAAATATTATATGGCCAGGGATAGGATTGCCATTGCAGTTAGTGCCTACGTCGCACACGGTTGAAGGGACAACACCGAGCTAGACATGTGACATCTCATGTGTGACAAAACCATTTTGCAGGCGAGTTAATCAAGACCTATCAATCCTCTTCTTTTACGCAGAGGAGATCTTTGATTTGTGAATAAGACGATTCATTCATACTATTCTTTAACCCTCTGTCGATTAAACCCTGCATCACAGTCACCAGGAATAGTAGCTACAGCTCTAGCTCTTAAAAGTGGAACTATCACGATAACGATAAGGGTTCACCTCACTCGAGTTCAAAATGCCCTCAGTTCCGTCAACGCCAGTAACTACCAATTTACCAGTTACACTCACTCCTCCGCCATCAAGGTCCACTCGGATAAATCCTCCAGTTACATCTCTAAATCTCCCTACAGAAAGGAGAAGGAACGATTCTTTTGTCCACAACCATATTCCACTCCCTGCTTCACCTCATGGAGCAGATAACACTTCTCCCTCTCCCGCTGATGTTCTTTCGCAGATGAGATTTTCTTACACCTCGTCCCATTTAACTTCGCCTTTCTTGACTCCTGGAAACGGACGCACTAGGTCTAGGTCCAGTTCTAATTCTAGGCAGTCTGGGAGGTCTCCAGATAGGTTTATCCCAAGTCGGGCAAATATTCAAAGTTTTCGCATGAATTGTCCAACACATCTGTTATCAAGTGAGGAAAGACTGCTTCGTCGGAGTGTTGGTACTGCAGTAAGAGGTCGCAGTGCTTCCCCCGATGCAAGAAATATATCTGCGTCAGTGAGAATTAGTCCCGGATCTTCAAATCATTTCCGACCTGGTATTAACAGACGTATCAGTGCTGGTGCTGTGGGTATATTCGGGATAGGTATCGGCGCTGCGCCAAGAAGGGAGGAGCCCATTCCTAGGGGGAGAGAGGTGCACATCAATGTGTTCGGTGACAAGGCCACCCCCGAAGCTGAAATGGAGAAACACGAGAGGAGACTCTCTGCCGCACTCGGTGTGGATAGAAGTGCCCGAGTACTTAGCTTTACTCGAGAAAATGAGCCTAGAAAGGATGGGATGATCAGGAAAGGGGGCGTTCTGGGGAGTCCACGGAGTGAGAACTTGAGCGATTTGCTCTGGGATGATGTTTTGGATGTTGGAAGTCGTAAGAGTCATTCCTACCGTCTATTTGAAAATTTTCTCTAAATATAACTCTACAGGCGACTCTACGCCACAAAGCTCTCCCTGCCGCAAGACTCAGAAACGAACTGTACCCACTACCCCATTCCGAGTTCTAGATGCCCCAGGTCTGCGTGACGATTACTATTGTTCCCTTATTGCTTACTCACCACACACCCACTCATTGGCTGTAGGCCTTCATAGTGATGTGTATAGTTGGACAGAAACCGGAGGCGCTCGTCCTTTTGAGCCATGGTCTACATCCCATGTGACCTCTCTTGCATTCTCTTGTTTACAAGGTGGAAATAACATTCTTGCTATTGGTAGAATTGATGGTTCTCTTAGCTTGTGGAATCCAATTGAGCTTACACCGAGGATTGAGCGTCCTCACAACGCTGGCGTTGCTTGTTTGGCTTGGAAGCCAGTGCTTTCTCATCGTCCGTTGGCATTTTTTCAGCCCTATGGTACTGGAGCTCGTTCTCGTCCCTCGTCCGCAATAATAGAGACTGAGGAGCTTCTTGTGGGTGACGAGTTTGGAAACGTGTATTACTACTCGATTCAGTGGAATGGTAAGCGGGAACTACTGGGTCAAAGGGTCTCTGATGCAACGATCACTCTATTGAAGCGGATTGTAGTACACTCTCAGCAAATCTGCGGGTTAGCTTGGAGTGGAGATGGTGAGCAGTTTGCCACCGGTGGAAATGATAATGCGGCCTGTTTATTCGATACATCTGAGGTTGTGAATAGGCGTCGAGATTCATCTGGAGGTGGAGAAAATATGATTGAGGGCGGAGAAAAACACAAGTGGTTGCATGGAGCTGCTGTGAAGGCAATTGCATTTTGTCCCTGGCAGAAGAGCTTGATTGCAACTGGTATGTTCACCCCTTTTACAACTTTATAAGACAATTGAAATATCCTAATACTCAAGGCTTGTAGGCGGGGGCTCTAACGACCGCTGTATTCATTTCTTTCACACGTTTTCCGGCGCAGCGCTTGCAACAATCAACGTTTCTGCCCAAGTCACCTCCTTGTTGTGGTCTATCAACCATCGTGAAATTGCTGCAACATTTGGCTATGCCAACCCCGACCACCCTATAAGGATTGCAGTATTTAGCTGGCCAGAATGCAAACAAGTTGTGCAGATACCTTGGCAAGAGGATATGAGAGCTCTCTACGCAGTTGCATATCCTGGAGGCCCCAATGACCCTCCCTCGAGCTTCGCCAGCGACACTGCTACAGCCAATGCATCGAACATGAGGCGGACTGAGAGCGGAAATGACGATATTGATATTTTGAGGGAAGAATTTGGTGTCATCGGTAGAAACATCGGTTTCCCTAGATGGCCTGGAAGGAATAGGCCAAAGAGCGAGGGCTGTATTGTCGTTGCTGCTAGTGATGAGACGGTGCGCTTTCACGAGGTATGGAGTGAAACAAGAAGAGGAGTATTAGGGTGGAGAGGTGTACTGGGTGGGAGTGATATCCTTGAAGGCTTGGAGGGCATCGAGAAGGACGGCGGGGAGATGATTAGGTAGACCTTTATTCCCGTCCACTCTATGAGCTTCCACTACTGGGGTGGGTATTTGACATTGCTTTTTGTGCGGAGTTCTATAATTGACCTTAGAGCTGGCTATTAATGGTCTTAAGCCATCACTTGTGGAAGTGGCTTGAAATCAAAGTACAGGTTGCTTAATTTTTAATATTACCTTTTTTTGCCTGACCTCACAGGGCATAGCTATATAAATTGGTTCTTGTGATTATGATTCTATCGCCTTTTCTTTTTCTACCTCTTTTATCTTTTTTGTCCTTTTTTGTTTTTACTCGTACTAGGTACGTGCACTCTCTGATAGCTCCATTATTGTTTGCACTCAAACATGACATGAACTGTGCAGACCCCCGACGTAGATACCCGGCGAAAACAAATACATTCTCATCAATTCCTGAAGTTTTACCACAATATTACCTATACCAATTTTGATAGGGTTATTAGCTTTCAAAGAGTCTAGCCTTCTTGGCCAATCAAGTAAAGGTCAATGAGAGCCAAGATCAGGTATGTTGCATCATACATTATGACTCGGCTCCCTACTAAGACTAACTTATAATTTTAACAATAGACGTTTTCCATTATTTGTTTCCCTGTCAATACTTCCAGGTAGCTATAGTTAATACTTTTCTGAAATATCGGCTATAGTACTTTGCCATAAAAGTTGGCTAGCCAAGGATAAATAACTATCTAAAAACGATACTGCTTAATTCCTTAACTACAGAATGATCCAATATCACCACTTAATTATGATCATTACAATCCATTAGTATTATTAATCTCCTCCTCCTCCTCTCCTCTCGTTCCCCAAAGCACCCTTTTCGGATAGGCCTCATACCTAAATGCGCCCTCTCCCATAGCTTCCGACATACATCGCATCCGTGTCCCATCCTGTCTCCCCTTCCTCCTTCTCGATATCAAAATACCCCCCATCTTCTCTTCTCTCCACATACATCACTATTGCCGGCGGTGACCTCGGGGATCTTACAGGCTCAGGAATAAACTCTGGCTCCTTTACCTGGTGACGGCGGATCCACACAAAAACCCCAAGACCTAAAAGAGAGAGAACGACTGCGCCGCCGCCGCCAGAAAGAGCTACGATAATTCCAGGTGGGAATTTACGAGACACCTTCTCGGGAGAAGGTATTGGGGCGGTAGTTGAAGCAGTTGGTGAGAGGGTGGTGGTCGTGAGGAGACTGCTGGTCTTCGTGATTATCTGTGCGTGGGGAGGGATTGTAGTCGTGGTTTCGAGTGTGGTGACTGGAATTACCGTGGCGTTGAATACTGGCTCGGGAGTACTGCTTGTGTTCAATTCTTCTATTGGTGTAATTGAACTTTTTATATTTGAATTCACGGTATTTGATACCGCAAATATCGAAACTGATATGAGTCAATATATATCAGCATCGTTATCGTTATCGACAGGTTCAATTGACATACCTTCCTCAGATCCACTCCCAGCGATCGTTATCGTAGCCAAAACTATCCCCGTTGATGTAGACGTACTCGATACCCATACAGCCGTCTGATTAGATGTACCAACTACATTTCCTCCGTACACGGTCGCGGTAGGGTTGATACTTTCGACGAAGATAGACGGTTCACTAGTCTGCGCGGCATACAGCTGGAGCGAAAAGTACAAAACTAGAACGAAAGTGTAAAGCGACCGAAACATCGCTGCTGTTGGTAGGAAGTAATCCTAATTTGGTCGATGTAGATAATTCTTGGTGAATTCTACTTTGTAGATCCTGGAAATGTAGTTATGAGCCGGCGATGGGATTGTATTTTATAAACACGATCCCCCTCCCCCACAGCTGAAGAAAAAAAACGCATTTTGGCTTTGTTGTCTATTGTGGGAGTAAAAAAAGCAAGCTCAATAAGACATAGATCGAAGAGGTGGGACCTGCATTACCAAATTTCCGCGGGTTCGGTTCTAGCGCCGCAATTGCAAACCTCTGAAGGAATCAACGGCAATACTCATCACTATCATGCAGAATCGTTGTCATCAAATCTCCAGAGGACTTCCCCACGGAAATTCTATGGCACGTCAAGTGGGTAGCTTTATCTTACACGATAAATATCGGGCTGGATTAAGCCATTTTGAAGAAGGAATTATGGGTTATGCGATGTGCGGAACCTTCCTGACCGAAAGGCATTAATATGTGCTTGGCAGGCCCTGAAATTGGGGTGGTTACACGGGTATAAATAGATTGGGCAATTCTAATTGTCACGTCAAGAGACACTAGGAATAAACAAAAAAAAAGGCTTTGTGGTGAATCTAGATCGGGCGCCGATAGCTATACGAATACTTCAATTGTGGATAGTTTTGGTAATGATATATGGGTGTCGATCTAGCAAAAGGTACCTGTGTGGCAACGCAACAAGGCCTCATCAGTTCGCTACCGCACTCTACAGGCTCCAATTGATGGAACCAATGACCGAAAAATTAATTCTGGGCTCTCACCAAGGTTCTCTGAGCTTTAGGAAAATTTGGAGCTTATCGGTTGCGTTGTTCTTCGGAATAAGGATTTGGCTGTGCGGACGGTTTTCCTAGAACGACACCCATATATCAGTAGCATGTTATTCAAGTACCATAGTCAATTAGGCCGACTAGAAGCCGAGTTACCGGCCATGATGCAACTCTCACTAACTACATATATTTATTACAATTTTGAAATTAGTACTAGTACATGTACATGTATGTCCCAAACCGTACTAGCAGGCCAAGTCCAATCGGCGAGTGAGAACCTATGAAGAAGTGATCTGACTTACCCGAGCAGCAGCGTAGAAACCTATTGGGCTGTATCTCTCTATACTTTGATTTCCCAACTATCCCTTTGTGCACCTTTGAAGCAAGCATTCTCTATGGCACCTTATCTGTACCATCTAGCAGACGTGGTTGGCGATTGTGCACAACACAATAGCTTCACATCAACCGGGCTGTTGCACCAAAAGACCCTCTGTACCTCACAATACGCAGTAGTGATATAATATTTGCGTTGAATTCCACACAAAACCACGTGGCCACGCATACATTCATCGGTCGTAAATTTGGAAAGCAGCTAGCTGTTCCTGCCACCCTCCTCCTACATATCTCCCCCACATCCAACTGAAATATAAGCGCCTATCCTCCAGATAATCCATTACTCAAGGCCACTACCCTCCCCTGCCTACACGCCGAGACCTGGGCGCAGTACCACATATAGTATTCTAGAACAACTTCTTGACGTGCAAGTTCAAGTATAAAGCTCCAAAAAACAGAAAGAAAAAAAAGAATCGAAAAAAAATCATGCGGTATCAGTACTAGTACAACGATCCCCTTACCCATCCGTCTTGCTAAGAAAGAAAACCATAAGAAAATACAAAAACGTAACACCCAAGGATAAAATGAAAAAAGGGATAAATGTAACTGGTAGATGTTCTTCTCAAGTACCCACTACCGATGACGCAGCCATGGAAGAAAATATAAGGTATTTGTATACCTAAAACTCAGATTATAACACTGATAGGGATAATTATAGCTGAAAAGATAGGATGAAAGGGGCATATCAGGACATTCCAAAGGAGGGAGTGTAGGATTATCCAATCCGAGTCCTAAAGCGTTCAGTAAAAGGTCGTGAAAACCGGCGTTGCAACGGGGCGATTTTTCACGGCCATTTACTGAACGCCTAAGTAGTAGTAGACAAAAAGAATCCGTGGGTCTAAATTAAAGGAATGGGAAAGCAAGGGGGGAAATATCTAACGCTTTAGCCTTTTACGCTTCACTACCGCCTTCCCTTTGCCCTTCTCCGAAGCCCCATCGGTATCACCCATGACGCTATCCTCTCCATCCCCATCTTCTCCTTTATCACCACCGATACTTTGCTCCTCATCTCCCGCAGTGCCAACAGTGGTCTCCCGCTCCCTATCCCTCACTCCGCCCTTCCTCGCAGAACCAAACCCGCCACCTGTCGCTGCCGCGCCAAGAGCCTTCTTCATCCCAGCCTCTTCAGCAGTTCTAAAGTTATCAACCATTCCTTCAACATCTCTCGCCATCACGACAGTCTCTTTCCCAATCTCAGTGGTAGACTTGTTGTACATGATTGCGTTTGCAAACATCCTAAAGAGCTCCTTCTCAAGCTGCACAGAGTTGACTATCCCTTTTGGAGGGGTATTCAAAGTTGTTGCAGGCAGCGTAGCAAAGGTCGAAGAACTTGCGGCGGGAGGGGTGGCAGCGGCAAAATCGGTGGTAGGTGTCATAGCTGGAGTGCCTGTCGATGTATTGGTAATAGCCGCCGTTCCAGATTTGACTGCTGCTTTGATACCTGTTCGAGAGGATTGTTAACACTGACATTTTATACATGGAATATTATTTGGCGATGTACTTTTTAGATCCTGAGGCCTAAACACTAGATTCCTATAACCAGGTGCCATTCGTTCATTGACAGCATGAGAGAACAAATTCGCAAACTTATGGCTGCTAATATCACCAAGTAGCGGTGCACTGAGTTGCAAAAACTTCTTCGTCGCAACAACAAGAGGCTGCTGGCCAATCGAAACTGTGAGTGGTGATGGAGAGGGTACAGAATTTGTCATATTCGAGCCTTGGTTTTCAAGTTTCGGGAAATGTCGTCGTTGCGGTGTCGGAGAGACAGAGGCTGCCTCAGCCTCACTTTCCTCCTCGTCGTCGTCAACTGTTTGTGGGGTAGGTGCGTTTACTTCTGTTCTTTTTCTCTTTGTTCGCTTTTCCTTCACCGGGGGTTCCACTTGTTCTTCAGGTGGCGGAGGAGGCTTCGCTTTACCTCGCGGCCTTCCTCTTCCTCTCGGCTTTTGAGGCTTTTCTTCTTCGTCAACGATGCTGATCGGCGCATCACTCTCAATTTCTGTAACGTCTGCCTCTTCATCTTTAACTTTGCTCTCCGGAGCCGCTACAACGATTCCCACTTCTTTTTCAACCACTGAACCCCTCCTGGCGACTGGACTCTTTGCAGGCGTTTTTTCGTGCTTCTTCTGCCTTTTGGGTGCTGGTTTATCTTCTTTCGTCCGATCTGCTCGCGCTTGTTTAGTATTTTCTTTGCTCCCGCCGGATTTCCGTCTATCTTGGGGACTTTTTCCATCGTCCTGGTAAAGACGTTTTTTGCCACGTGGTTTCTCAACGCTCACAGCTAATTTCGGGGATTCGGGGGGCGGAGGAGGAGAGCGCGAGGGCGTACTAATAGGAGAGATTTCATCAGGCCGTGGAGGTATTGGTGATCCAGGTTCTCCTTTGTGCCCCGGCGAATGGGAGAAGGGCGGTATATCCGTAGAACCTGTAGAGGTTACAATTGGTGGAGGGCGTGTCTTTGAAGGGGATATCGGATTAGATTGTTGTAATGTTAATGCTGCAACCTGTGGTGGAGGGCCGGGAGGAGCTAGAGGAGGAGGGCGCGGAGCGATTCTTTGAACAGTTGGTGAAGGTACCGGTGGGGCTTGTTCAAAGCTCTGCTGCTGCTGTGCTGCTACATGCGGGTTATAGTGCTGAAAGTTGGGTGTCTGAACGCCAGCTTGCCTTGCCTGATTCTGAGGAGAAAACTGTGGGGGGTACTGTTGAACTGGGGGGCCCGGCGTGGTAGGCAACGCAGTAGGGAAAAGAACACCGAACCCCGCGGTGGCCCCGGGGGTTGAAGGTGTCGGCGTTCTATGACCCTGTTGAATATTGGGAGAGATAGGAGCTGGGCCATATGAAACTGGTTGCCCTGGCGATGAATACACAATATGTTGACCCAGAGGTGCTCCATGCTGCACATACGGAGGCGTGTGTTGTTGTTGCCATCGTGTATCTGCAACATCTGCCAGTTGTTGCAACCCAGTTAACCCTTGAGGACCTTGCCCTGAGCCTGGAACGCTGGATGGTCTTGAAAGCGTATTCTGTGGTTGTGGATAAGGGCCTTGTATAGGTCTTGGAGTGATTGGAGGAAAGGGCGTTCTTGTTGGCGGAGGAACTGGTGCTTCAATTTTAACACCTGGACGTGATAACGGCGGGGCAACAGGCGAAGATGTACTTGAGGGAGGAGGCGGTGGAACAGCTTCCATCTTTTGCGGCACTTGGGGAGAAGGAATAGGTGCAGCTAAGGCTCTATGTGTTTGGGTTTGTCGCGGGGATGAAGATGCAGTTTGAATAGTTTGATTGGACCAAACCGCGGTCGGTTGTGTCTTTGGTGGCGTTGAAGCTACTTTCATTACATCGCGCTTGGTTTGAGCAAGAGGCATGTAGCTCTCTTTCTGCCCTTCTTGAACTTGATCTCGGGTATGGGGAGGCGGTGATTGCTGTGGTAAAGACGTAGGTGCCGGCACATTCCGGGGCGGGCGATCTGTGACATTTCTTGGTGTATTCTGCTGCTCTGGTTTCCCGGAATGATTATTTGGGCGTAGTGGTAACGAAGACTTGAGTTGAGGACTTTTTTGAGTTGCAAGCTGAGGGACAGCGTGCTGGGCAGTGGGTGTTCGCGCAGCTGGCAATGCTCGCGGGGAGACCTCTACTGATACGTTCGTCGCCAAAGGTTCATCTCTCGCCTCAGCGATAGGACTAACACTGGGTGTGGCGTTCCGCCTGTCCAAGCCTGGAGAGGAGCTGACTCTCTTTTGTTTAGAGCTCTTTGGCGTCGTTGAGCTACTTCTGCTCCTTGCCTTGACAGCGTTTTCACGCAGTAACCGTTCATCCCATAATCCCGCCGAGATATCGTTAAAGTCCCGGTCCAATTCTGCATACCTCCTCTCATCATCACGGATCTGCTGAAAAACAGTATTTCGGTATTTCTCGTATAGTCGTGACGTCAAGATCTTGACCACACCAGTCTTGTCGGGGTTTGATAGAGCTGCCGGAGGTGTTTTAGCCTTCTTTTTCCGTGACGTAGCTGGAGAGCCTTGTCTACCCCCATCACCGTTAGGTTGTCCATCTCCACCATTCCCAAGTTCCAGCTCAGCTTCCCTCAACTGTAACAGATAAAACTCCTTCAACGCGTCCGGCGCTAGCCTGCCCCTGTCGAATGTGTCCCCATTCTTGACGAGTGGGTTTCTGACCAAGATATTTGAGATCAGCGAAAAGGATGTCGGGTGTATACCATGTGTCGATAAGTTATAAAACAGCAGCAACGTCTCCAGCGGCGTATAGGCAGTAATCTCAAGTGCTGGGGTGCTCATGGACGGGGGTTTCTGGGGTGGCCCGCGGGGACCTTCCGGGTCACAAACGCGTAAAGTGGGTATCGAAATAGTAGCGGAAGACGCGACAAAGACGAATTTTCGATAGGCGACGAGCGAAAATGACGCGTGGGGGGTGGATCTTTGGGGCGGTAGGTGAATGACGAGGCAAGCTTCCGGAAGGTGAGGTTGAAGTTTGGCGATGACTAAGGTGCCAAGATGTCGCGATCCTCATGGATAGACACAAAAGAAGACACCTCGCCAAAACAGTCGACATGTGGAGTATCAACATTAAGTTCCTACTTCCTGTTTGAGCCTTTCTTCCCAAAACAGAAGGGATTTTAATAATAGGAAACTCCAGGCCTTTCTATTAAACTAAAATAATGTAACATTATTGTGCTTGAGGTCCAGAAAGTTTTATGATCAAGGCCAAATTTTGGGAAAACTTACTTAATTCGTCAGAATTCCCTAACTGGTGAAGTCTATTTTAACTGAAGTCGAGTGATACCCGAAGATCCAAAAGTATATCTAGTGTGGTGGTAGTCGAGCGAACCAATAGAGATTCCCATGGATAGGTAGCCTACCAGAGCACACTTACACCAGAAGCAGGTGCATCTCAGCCCTATCACCTGCATCCGTTCCAGCTGCCCAGATTCACCCACGACAAACTTTGATTCTCAATCCACCATGTAGGTACTTACATGTATGTAGATACATGTATTAGATAAGTTAAAGCTAAGAGTCTAGTATAATTGGTACCAGCAAGTACATGTACTTGCAGTTATGCATTTTCTCTAGAGCTACCCACGGCTAAAACTACAATGTAGGTACTGCCAAAAACTGGTTTTCAAGTATAGAAGATGACTACATGTAGGTACGTACAAGTATGCACATATTTCATTTTGCTGAGGTCATCACGGGTTGTTTATTGGTATGATCGGGTTCCGTTCTAATCATAATCTCAAGTTTGGTGAGGTTCGATGGTTGCCAACAAGTACTGCAGTACATCAGCGAAAAAATACTGGATTATCTTATAACCAAAAAATCACAATAAAATATCACAATAAAAATCAGTTTAACTTGCGAACGTTATCAAATACAGCAGCAATCTCATCAATGTATGGCATCCGCGGTATTATATAATTGAAACTTTCTAGAGGCTAAGTCCTCGTGGGGCGCTGCGTGTACATGTAGATCAAAAAAAAAGTTCGATTAAAAACTATCGCTTGCTACAATCAAAGTTATCATCAGTCATAAATACATGTACATGTAGTTTCGGGGAGTTACTTTATACTGGCCTTATAACTCTATAGATCCACTGAGTGATTCGGGGATGTCTACACCTGACTCCGGCTACACATGGGGAGCGAGGCCATATATAAAGTATGTACAAATCTAAAAGAGTGATCTACTAGGTTGTCTTTTTAACGGCTCGCATGATGTAGCATAACAGATTTACATTGAATCACAATGTTATCTCTAGCTCGAGGTCAAAGACCAGATCTGACTGGGTGAGCGGATGGGTTATACTAAAGAAAATGTCCTTGTTGAATCCCTGGACACATGTATTAAAGCTTCGAACTTCGCCCGCCACACCTTTCGAAGTATAAATAACTACATGTACCCATATGACCGTTACTAAGTCAAGCCACTTCTGCCCCCACCTTGTGCTCCTGTGAAACTAGACTAGTCATAACTTCTCACTCGTGTAAACTTTGTTTCCCATTCTATACACATACATACTTGCACCCTCAAAGCTCCCAAATTGAATGGGTTTGCTCAGCTAAGTGGCTTTGCCCAATTGAATAAAAGCTACACGTACCTTAATGGCTCACGATGGAGCCCCCTTACCACCACCACCAGTCTATGCCCCACTAAGCTCAATAGGCGTTTGACCCCCATTGAATACCCCGCAATACCCTGGCTGTGTTTGCTTAAATCCTCCCTCTTCTCACTCTCCTTCTGTTTTTCTATTTCTCTTCCATCATCACCATTGCAGCAACATCGAAAGAACCTTTTCTCATCATCAAGAAGGTCCCAGACACCAGTGCGCAACCCAGATTCTAACCTAACCTTGCACCACCACCATCGTTTGGCTCTCTACCTCTGCTTCCCGCAGCTTCCTCGAATTCTATTCCCGGACAATCGTCTCCGCCACACAACTCCTCCTAATCCAACTTCCCGTCATCTCGACAGCTTTTACATAACGATTTTATAACTCACTGACCACCCATTCACCAACGATGCCGTCAGTGACGAGGTCTGCCGCAATGGAAGTCACCGCGCTTCCCACATCTGTCCTCACCGAGATGCCTCCTGTCAACTTCCTCAAAGCGACCAAAATCTCGCTCTTCGACCCCATGCTCATCTACCTCTTCCGAAACCACTTCAGTACATGGATAGACGCCAATAACTACGGGTCTCAGGCTGATTTCGTAGAACTTTACACTGCGTTTCGCGAAGTCTACAAAAATCATAGCAAGGTTGATACTTCGCTCCACGCAAATAGGAAAGGGGAAACGCTCGATTTCCAGGCATTACAGGCTTTGGATGATCAAAATGATTTATTACTTGACGTAAGCTCCCCCACCCGCCCCTTGTTTCCTTTTGACCTCTTCAAGGGCGCTGTTTCTAATTCTATTAGCAATTCTGGGAGTTTGTTATGGGCATGGGCCAGCTTGCCGGTTGTTTTGACATGAGCTCTGGTGGGTCTGTGGAACAGAACCCCGAAAAATCTTCTAAAGGAAAGAAGGAAATTCGCCGCTACAACCATGTTCTCGCAAAGATAGTCGCTGCTACTACAGACCCCGCGAATCCAGGCCCGTGGGACATCCCAAAACAGGCGAGAGGAAAGGTCCCAGACGCTGAAGGGATGACACTAGAAATGTTCGTTGCCATGAAGAACAATACCGACGTCCTGGATTACTTTGATACGAAGCCGTATAGAGACCACTGGCATTCGATGACCGATAAGGATTTTTGGCATCTGTCTGTTAGTTTGTTTGTATGCGCTCCCTAATATAAGCTCGCTGTTTCCTGTGACAATATCGGCTGATACGGGTATAGAAACATTTGAATGATCTTCATCAAGGCCGTGACTTTGTGGAAGGGTTCCGCTACGTGGACAGATATAACAGTCTTGTCAGCCTGCTAAAAGTAAGTTTACTCATTAACAATGACTGGTAAATTATAATAAACTCGGCTCCTTGCTAATTAAACCTTCCCCAAATAAAACAGAACTGCAAGGGAACTATTTATTTTATGTCTCGCCCATCCACCTATGAGGACGTTCTCTTGAACCCCCACATGATGGAACTTGTAAGTTCCTCTCCTTCTAATCCCACCCTAACCAATTTCAACTGCCGTTAACCTGATATCCTCTTACAGAGATTTGCCGACAATCAAAAAAACAATGCTAAAAAGAAGCTTGACAATCGTGAACTTGCTGCTCGCCGTGCCCAAGAATTCTTCATTAAACATGGTGTCGACCCTCCATCAAAGTCTCATATGCTCCGCGGTGCTGCCAAAGGCAATAAAAGCAAGCGTGCTGTTTCCGAAATTGAAGATGAATCTATGGATGAAGAAGAAATAGCCTCTCCGGAAACAGCAACACCAAGCACGAATACAAGATCTGCTACGAAGAGAAGAAAGGCCACCGCTGCGGCCAGTTCTTCTACTGCTCCCAAGAGGTCACTGGGAAAGGGAAAAGGGAAAGCCGTGGCCACTACTGGTACCACCTCTTCGCAGGGTGTTTTTGTTCCCCCAGTCTCTACTCATACACTTCTTCGGGCCACTACGCAAGTGCAGCCCCCGCCGATGGTTGGCATGGACCCAAAACGTGCAAAGCAGCTCCAGAGTGGGAGGCGCCAGAAGCAGCAGTACCAGCATTTCCAGAAGTTGCAGCAGTTTAATGTCCAGGTAGAAGTCTCACCTGAGCATTTCGGAGAGGAGTTTGTCGTTCATGAGCAGTTGGGAATGGATAATTTGGATCCCCGCCTTCGGGACGCTGGGCACCCAACAGTGCACACTTACGCCGGGTCTCATAATCCACACGAAGCCAACTCCTCGAGCAGCAATAGCCAGTTCCACGGTAATAATCCAGACCTTGCTAATATGTTCATGTTTGGATCTGAAAGGGAGATGGAGACTCAAGCGTGGGCCAACAACGGACAAGGCGGTGGGCCACACGATGCAGACTTGCCAAAGTCAGGTAGAGCTTCCTACAACCAGACTCCTGATCAAAGGTTCGTTCAAACTATCTTAGATTCAGAGTTCGTAACTACGCCGGATACGAGCTATACTACTGGAGGACAGCAAAACGATCTAGGCAACATATCGGCCCATCATACATCTACTCACAACGCTACAGAAATGGGTTGGCATAACCCCCAATCGCGCTACCAGGCCCGACCCACCGATGAGGACGGTAACTCGTACTTTGACTTTGAGAATGCCTCGTTTGGACCGGATAGAATGGCAGCGATGGAGAAGATTTTGGATATGGATCCTGACAGATGAGGATGGGTTGCAAGATGATGAAATAGATCATTCTGTCAGAATACACGGATGGGCCCTTGACGAGCCGGCTTAGTTTGCCCTCTCCTTCGTCCACAGGTGGACATGTCATTTTATATTTCTTTCAGTTTTTTCTATTTTGTATCTCTCGCTCTCTCTTGGGTAACACTCGAAGCAGGGCGTAGCAAATGTCCACTATTATTTTGTTTCCATCTGGTTCGGAGTTTGGTTTCTTTCTTAACATCCCACTCTGCTGCAAGTTCTTATACTTCCTATGTTCCATGTTTCAAGGCATGTTGTACTGAATACACTCTTCGTTTCTTTTGTAAAGTGCTTATGTTGTATATAGTTATGTCGTTATGATCTAAGTAACTATAATGCATTAAATGAATATGCGAAATTTCTCTAATTAACACAAGTATGGATGAAGGAGCTCTTGTTCTGCTTCTTAGTATTGGCGCTGCTTAATGATCAGTTGTTGACTGTTAGTGACGCCACTTAGTTTCGTCCCAATCTCAAATTTTCAACGAAGCATCAAACGGTATAACTTAAATTTCAAGGATATTATGTTTTATGAACCCCCACCCATGGTATCAAAAAATTCACACGACTCAGGATGACACAATATAATAGTATTCCCAGGCTTTACAGATGAACCTAAAGACATAAATATATTCGAATCATGCCGAGCTAGCACATGAGAAACTTTCAAACATTGCCTGCCACGAGTTACTTAGCTTGTATGTAGTATAAATATGATTTCTGGGTCCGTTCATATATAAGAAGGGGGCAGAAGATGCGAGTAATCCCTCTCCTCCAGATTCTACATGTAATTGTTACTCCTCCTTCACCAAAGCCCTCAAAAGATTATATTTCTATCTAATATACATGAATATATTCAAACCTCCTTAAGCAAATTTACGATATAGTTTTACCTTCTTAGTCGCGTATGCGTAACGGTCACCCCCCGCACAACAACAGTTACCCCCAGCCCAGAGCAGCTCACAAGCTATCACTCAGCGATATTCTTCTAGTGGTCATTCATTGTAATACCGCAGCTGAGTTCTATGACTCAACTTCATGTCCAATCAGATCTAAGCAATTATACCAGAAAACTTCTTATGACCGTCGAGCAAATAAGCTTTATGTTTTCAGATAACATATAGAATGTTCTTGAGATGAGATATTGTCGCCTGACCTCTTGTTGAGAAGCATGGTATTAATAACAAGTAGCCCTAACCCTATATATCGTGGGTACCTTATGCATTAGTATGACGTGAAAGGGTGAAGATACAAACTACATGTATCTGTAGACTGGATTATGTGAGTAAAAGTGTTGATAGTTTAAAAACTCGTGGATTTTCTTTTTAACATTTATATATAGCTAGCTGTCAACCTCCGGGTTGAGGCATATCAAAAGTTAAAACTCAAACTTGATTAACTCCATGAAATTCGGACGAAAGGACTGGGTTTGAGGGTCATTACATACATGTATCGACCCCATGGCACAGTCGGGTGGTGATACAGTGGCTACGCTCGGTCTAAGATTGCGGCGTGGTGTACAACTATACATCCTTTGTTTGGATGTCCGTCTTTATTAAGGCTTTACAAACACGATCAATTGTTAACTTCCAATTGGAGAGCTCAATTGAGCAAATTTTCAATCCCAAGAAAACTAAGGGAGCCCACTTTATATACGTGTATCTACATACAGCTCTCCGAGTTTCTACCTAGAAATTTGAGGTGCGGGTGGCCTTAGGAGATGTCCCTCCAGTTAGCTTTGATTACTGGACCCACCGTTCTTCCACACTTTGTCGGCACCTCCAAGATGCTAGAGTCACAACACATTAGTTCCACATCATTACAGAATAATAACTACACAATTCAGCCTTAAGTTGTCCGGAGGAATGGCTGCTATTGGCATCGAAATATCCCTATCTTTAATTATTTTCACTGTAAGCAAATGTGCAATCGTAGCCTTAGCTATACGAAGCGTGGTTAAAGGCGACAGATGCGGGGATAAATGTACCAGTGAGGTGCCGCAGCATTCTAATAGATGGACGTTGGTCGCACAGGACTTTGGGGGTTCCCGTGTTTGGTTATTTGTCTTGAATACGCCCCTAAGTATCTCTCCTCATACTGGCTTGAAAGGGCAATTTCAACGTCTTGTGTGACTGGCCACCTATCCGAATCACTGCGGTATTTTACTTTCTGCCCTTTACATCTTGTCAGCTGGTTATTCGCTTCCAGTGCCGGCTCCGCCCTGAGATAACGAAATTCCAACTTATAGGTTAATTCCTGTAGGCACATAAAGCCTTATATCTGAGCTGACAAGATGTTTTCACGGATAATCACTCGATGGAGGCACAAAGCGGGGTGCAACCACACTGATCTTCTCTGGTAAGCATTGAAGGAACCCAGTGCCAGAAAGACATATATGCAGTCGCAGTTTTTCACATGTCTTCTCGGCCTTGAATTCTGCTCAGCTGCGGGGAACTCACGATAGAAGCTTACTCGGGGCAGGCAACAAGAACCTGAAAATGCAAGCTGCAAGCAGGGGCTCATTTGGTGTAGCTTTTCGCCAGCCGCGAATCAGAGGTCGTTACCATCAAAAGTCATTTTCAGGTTCTTCTTGCCTACCCCGAGTACTAGTATAGACTCTCGTCCTTGACGCACAGGCGCGGATTAAGCAAAAAGCATCTCGCGGTCCAAAATTCCTCCGTGTCCACCTTTTGGTTTTTAGAAAGTAGCCCTGGGCACGATTACCGACAGATTTACTCAATTAAGCGAGAGCCTTGCTGCATGCAGGTAACACGATGCAAGATGGCGCCCTAGGTACTCCGATAACCTTGAAGTCTTATTATTCTGCTCATTATAGTTATATCGATGTGACGTCGATGAAATTGGAGGTGGAGAAAGAGCGTTTTCTCGTGAAGCTCTTGATTGAGTGTGGTGTTTTGGTTTTGGTTTTCAATCTTGTCTTTTTTTGCTTTTCGCTACAAGCGGGACTCGCCACATCTTATTTGGACGTCCATTGTCTCAGTTTCTCGTTCCTGAATGTTCCTGTCGATCGACCATTCTGACAGCTTACGCAGCCACTTGGTTGCCGCGCATAAAAAAACAGTAGCTAACAGCCCTGTCGACGGCGACGGATAGAATATTATCCATCCTTGCTTGCGTTATGCAGTAAGCAACGTCTCATCGAATGCGGTGCATCTACGCCGGCAAGTCCCTTCGGTCGCCCCGAACGGTGCAAGTGTGTATAAAATCATTTCCAGATGCTGCAGATACGGTATTCAACGTTGTACAAAACTTTATCCCGGATATCGGATTAGTTTCCGGTTCATCCATTAATCTACTTTCTCCCCACATAGTTCCCCATTACCCCTGTTAGAGCACGAAGCTTTCTCTGCACTATTACGCACCCATAATACATTTGGGAAAAGAGAGGGTGTTGAAGAAAGAAAAGAAAAGAAAGAATACCCCTCCTTACCACTTATAAAGGTATCCTTTCGGCATCACAAGCCAGCTGAGACCCTTTCAGATGTCGAATGTTTTGACTGGGCCCTTGATCTCAACACCGAAAGAAACACTTCCGTCTTTGGCACCTACAAGGTACCCCACAAATTCAATCTTCCCCGGCCCGCCAAAAATAACTGTACCGGCCTTTCTTACTTTTTACCCAGTATGCATCTGTAATTTAAACAGAATTACAGCCGTCCGCCTGACCAGATAGGGTGCAATTTGGAAGGAAGGATGAAATGCTTGGGATGAACTCCTTGCCTGGCCTTTCACTGCATCTTCCTCCGGGTAGAATTCACCCCCACTATCACCAGGAGAGTTTGGACACAGCCACGGCGCGCGCCCAAATCTGGAACGCATTGATTGAAATCTGCAGTAATTGAGCTACTGTCAGGGCTACCTCGTCTTCCCCTTCCCCCTTTCTAATTCCTTCGGCACTATCAAGCCGAAAGCGAAATCCGCTCCAGAAAAAAACCGTCTTCGAACTACCCCGCAAGAAGAGCGACGAGCGGAACTAAACATCCATGAAATATCCGTGCGTTACCAGAGGAAAAATCACTAAACCAAATCTTTGGAAAAAGGCGTTTAGTTAGTTGCGCCCTCTATCAAAAGGGGGATTATATATATTGAGCTGTTATCTCCCTTCCAGAATCAGCTTCTCGAAGGATAGAGCAGTCTCAATATCCTCTCTACACTCCTCCTAGCTTCTCCTCTCAAGATGCGTGGTGCACTTTTCTTCCTAGCGGGATTGCTACCCAGCGTTGTTCTTGCTGCTCCGTTATCCCTAGGAATCGCATTTTCGTCTACAGATGGGTTGCCAGAATTGACGTTGCCATATGCGACATATAAGGCATATTCATATGATGTTACGGACGATGTAAGTTCTTAAACATCTCGTTTTTCTTTGGAATACTCATGTTTGTATTTTAGTATTACACCTTCAAGAACATCCGGTTCGCCGCTCCTCCCGTCGGGAACTTGCGGTGGGCTAAACCCGCCGCACCATTGACCCAGAGCGGTGTTCAAGACGGAACAGTAGGATATCAGTGTATGCAAGCAGCTCCACAACAGCTATTTGGTATGTAATTTGTTCACCGGGGGATTGGAGTGTAGTCGGTTTTAGTGTTGTATATTCTAATATAACCGTGTAGTTGCATACCCGATCTTACAATCTCTTGAGCCAGCATCGGAAGATTGTTTATTCCTTGACATCCAGGTTCCTGGTGCAGCTGTGAGGGGAGAAGTAAAGGACCTGCCTATCCTATTCTGGATCTTTGGTGGCGGATATGGTTAGTTTACCCGACAATGATAATCTGATCCAGAATTGGAAAAGAATGGGTCACTAATTGCTTATTGATAGTATTGGGGTCGAAATCCTTCTTACTCTATGATGGAAACCCGTTCCTAAAGGCTAGCGGAAACAACTTGATCTATGTAGCACCGAATTACAGAGTAAGTGGAGTATCTGTTCAGCTAAGCAT